AAAGCCTTGAATATATTTTTAGTTGGTGGATAGCGTTTTGAGCAACAGTGGCATGTGCTATAGTAAAATAAAAAGGTGTTCAAGTACAAAAAAAAAAAACGCAACAACGCGCAAAAAACTTGAAACGTCTCTACGTAAATACCTGTTATAATTTTGTAGCAATAATTTTTGGAATTAATGAGGTTGACACATCAATTGATACTTCATAAGGAGTCTCCCTTGATATTTAAAACTCGATTTGCTAGTTTTATCGATTATATACAGTCATATAGATGTTTAAAAAAGTTAAGCTAAAAAAAAAAACACGTAAATGCACAAAAAAATAAACGACCATCTAATTATTAGAATCTTAATCTAATATAAGTGATCTAATCTAATTTTATACTATATTCAATTTGTTTTTTTTACACGTTTAATATTCTTAACGCAAATATTATTATCTACTATTAATTATACAGGTTTAATTACATGTATTAGGCAGGTAGGCTACACAATTACGATCACTATATTATTATTAAATAAAAACCCTAACCATAAAACGATTCACTTAAATGCAAATACATATTTCAGCAACTATATTGTCATCTTCAACACTATAACGGCGCGGCAGCCTAAATTTAGTGAATATTTTTGTAGACAGGGTTTTTATTTAATAATAATAAATGCCACAAATGTCTATACTGTTATGCTAGCACAACGATAAAAGTATTACTCTCTTGCCGTTTGCCTGTATAGGTACACTTGACATTTGCTATGTAACTTATATGATAAACTTCTAATTTTCTAGTAAAAGGTTATCTAATTGTTAGATACGCTTTTCGACCACACCATTCGTAGTCTGTTCTCAGCTAGTTTTTAGTTCGCAACAATGACTAGGTCATGCCAATTACACAGTGAGCTGCTAACAAATCTCTATAAACATAATATAACATTGTCATACTTTTCAATTATATTACACTATAAAAAACATGCAAAAATAATGTATATGTTTTTGAGAATGACGTGACTTGATAGTTAACATAATGTTTTATGATTACACTGCCTAGTTGTATAATGTCTAATAGGTTGCATAACTATTTCCTTTTAGTAAAATATAACATATGTGAATATATAAATGCATCATGTATTTTGAAAACTTGTTTTATTGGCCTTCGACAAGCAAGACTTCGGCCGATTCGTGTTTGCGTGTCTACATTCAATATAACGAGAAGGTATGACAATGAGGCAAATTACTGATTAATTTTATTATTTTATAAAGCGTCATGGTTATAATAGTATCTTTGGAAATTTAGATGGACATTCGCTGAGCTCTCGCCGATGGCTGAGCATCAACAAGCAAAAATTCTCAACTCCAAATGGCAAATCTAAAAATAAAATAATGATAAAAAGTATTCCGCAAATTAGAACTGTATACAGTTCATATCTGACCTCTGGCTACACTACATATTACCTAATATTATCATAAAATAATAATATTAAAATGTATTATAGTTCTTTATAATCATATGAAAGGTACAGAAAAAAAGTCACTTTTTAAAAATGGTCATTTGGTTGTTTTAAAATTCGTTTAGATACGATACGAATCTATACATTATTTTTAAACATGATTATAAACAAAAATAGAAGTATTTTTTTTTACATTTAAAAACATTTATTAGCATTATTATTATAATACGCCGATCGCAACTACCGACCATGGGCCACTGGACACCGGCCGGCCAACCTTTTGGCAGCATTTCCACAATATCATAGAAACGTAACTCTTATTGTATTAAGGACAACATGTATATGAAGGGCACAGGAAAAAAACGGTAGTTGTCACATTATGAATTTTTTTTTTTCAAATAGTTTTTTTCAATTTATGTCAATAATTTTTTTAATTTATGTCAATAGATTGTTTAAATATACATTTATTGTTAGACTAGCATTTAATGTGATTTTTTTTGTTCTTATGTAAAAGGTAGAGGAATTCACGAACTTTGTTTTTGTTATACTTTAAAATTTTCATAATGTGACAACTACCGTTTTTCCCCTGTGCCCTTCATATATATACAAACTTTTATTTTTATTTTTTATTTGGTGTATACAATCTATACAATTACAATGTACAATAAGTATATATGTTAATTTTGGTTATAATAGCGTGTTAGACTTGAATAAGAAACCGCCCACCGACAGGTTGGTTTTAGTATTGTTTGTATGCTGTGGCCTGTGGCCATAAAAGGCACCTGTCAAAGTGTATCCCTAAGTACTTGCGTTGGAAGAGTTGGGAATTTGGATGTTATTTAAGTAAACGGGGGGGGGGGGCAGTGGCTTTGTTTTAGGATAAAGTTCACTTGTATTGATTTGCTTTCATTGATTTTTAACCTCCATTTTTTGTATACATTTTGAAGTTGCTCTAAGTGAAATTGAATATTTTTGGAGGACTTTTTTGGGTATTTGTGAGAGGAAAGAATGACTTTGTCGTCAGCATATTCGGATACTGTTGTGTTTGGGGAAATAGGTTGATATGTCGGAGATTAGCGATTCGGTGAACTAAATATTTGTGAGAAAGATCCTGTTGGGATTTTGAAAATTTTTGGTGTTCTTGGATAGCGAAAACCTTCGTCGTCTTCCGTTATATTTTATGAATTTTGATCTTTAGCGGAGGAACTTTGGGATTCTTATTCGACGGCATCGTAGATAGATAATGTACAGGTGCTACCTGGATTAAGGCCTGCCGCGGCGGCCTTCTGTAAGCGTGGTTTGTGTAGGTTTTGATAGTATGCTACCGGGAACTGGTGGCGGTTTTATTAGTGGTATTGTAACGGAGAGAGAAGATAAGATAAGGCCAGCCGGCGGCCGGTCGTGAACGTTTGTTGTTTGTTTTTATCAGTAGACATTTACTTACTAAGTATGATAACTTGAGAAGTCCGAAACGAATCTTGGTTGTTTCGGCTTTGTTAAACGCGGGAAATTGTTTTCGTCATTTCTTTACAGAGTAAGAAAAACTTCATGCACTTTATCGTCGAGGATTGCCGAAAACTTAGGAGCATTTTTTCACGTTCGAGTGATCGGCATCAAATAACACAGATCAATTTTTTTTTTAATATTTACATTATTATTATATACATGCCTACTATGCTTATAGATTTCCATATATTACCTATAAATTGTATAAAATGACCAAGAAATTAAAATTTTTTATATAAATTCTATACTTTGTCAAAAACATTAGTTATTTTAAAGTAACATAATAAATTTATTTTATCCTATACTCTTATAGGAGGTTCCAGAAATTACTCTTTAAACTTCTTCTAGTCACACTTCATGCATTGGGGTAAAAGCTATACCTATGAAGTATGAATTTTGATTAGGCTTTGAGCCAGTTTTGTTGCTGACTACGTTTTATATACCCTAGACTCCCAAGTGCCCGGGCAGTCTAAATATTTGCAATATTGTACACATTCGTCACTACTAAAGCTTTATAAAGTTTTTCTAAAGACGCGCCTGTAATAAACAGCAGACTCATTAAGCCTCTGGTGCTTAAATGTGATAAATAAATGAATAAAAACTTAGGTTTTTGCACGGAAAAAAATATATTGTTGAAACAACTAAAACTATTTAGTTCAGTCAACTCAATGTTTAGTGGGCCCAACTGTTCATTTAATTATTCAACTATAATTATTTATAAATCTATTTGTGTCTCTGTATCATAGAGACACAAAATAATCATAAATAAAAATAATCATAATTTTAGTTGATTCAACAACAGACTAATTTTAATTAGAACGAATAGTTTCAATGTAAACAAAAACGTTGCGGCCATATTACAAAACTTGCTATAATCATACTAAATTATATATGTACATAACTAAAAATGAGAATGTATAGACTACATTTATTACGATTATAGCAGGTTTAGAACATGGCCGCTTCGTTTTTGTGTGATAAGTACCTTTTCCGTGTCAATATTTATCACTTTCTGGGGCCAGTTTTTTTCGTGTGTTATAACATGAAATAGTGTGCTAAAACATTGTAGGTGTGTGAAGCGAATAAAGAAATGGCGACGGATTTGTGGAGAAACCAAATTTATCTAATAGTGCCACATATTTGTTGTGATATGGAGAAGGAAATATATGGTTAGATACAAATAACAACCGATTAATCTCTTGAGAGATTACTTAAAATGCGAGTACAAATGTAAAACGTTTTATTATACCAATACTTGTATAAAAATGTACCTAAACACACAAACAGGTGCGAATATGCTAATTATAGATCTACGTGCTTTGTAATAATAATGCAATAAATCTCATTAAATATGTTTTTCTTTTTTTTTAAGCAAACAAAAGTATAATACATATAGATTTGCAAATTATCGTTTACGTCCTGTATTAGTGAATATCACACATCAGCTAATTTTTTAGAAGTCAAGAATATATAGAAAATTCTTCGATACAATTCAACATGAAGCTAATATGTATTTGTGTATTCGGTGTCTCACAGACCGTTACTACTAAGATTACGTACTAATATTGCAATAACTCTTGAAAATTTTAAATGTTTCAGTTTTATCATTTATGTTTTCAAATAATTTATTTTAGACTATACTAATTGTATTTTTTGAATTATCATTATAATTCAGTGAGGAGTGTGAGGGACCCGGTGAATTAAACTTTTATTTTTATGTGGAATAATACTCCAACCGCTAAAATATAGAATTACTAATAACTCCATATATTGTATTTTATTTATTCAAATGGGTTATTAAACAGTCAAATTACTTTTAAAATATATAGTCTTTAAGATGGTTACCTTGATTTTTAAATTTCAATTTAGATAATTAAGACATAATATATTATTTATATTTTTCACTCTAAAATGCAAAAAATAAAAAATCTATATAGCAATTTCGATTTTTTTTAAGAGATATGAGATGATAATTAATAACATTTCGTAGATTTAAGTTTATAGTGTAAATATTAGGAAAAATAAATCCATATGTTTAAACTTAATACCTCATTTTTTCCAGCTTGTACGTTTGTTGAACATCCATTTTTGTACAAAAAAATGTCTTGAATTTTAATTGATGCAGATTATTGAAGAACTCGTAGCCGTTCTCACCTGTTAGTTTAATATATTAAAATCATAAGCTTAACTCTACTAAAATGTAAAGCCAAACGGTCATTACAGTTTTCACGTAAAATTTTCCCTCCAAAATAAGTACCTAGACTTCATCTACATTTTAAATTTTGATGTAGACAATTTTCAATTACATAAATTTGGTTACAGTAATAAATGTGTAGTTTAATATCATAAATCTTAGATTCTAACAAATTTAAAAAAAATCGCTTAGGTTAAAATTAAAGAAGAGACACTACAAATTAAATATAGACTTTCCTAATTTTACCCTATAGTATATAGTCCACGACGTTAAAATATTTTATCTTAAAAGTTTTGAAATGTCAATAAAACTCTTCATCAATTTTGCCAATCGGTTTGATAGGTAATAATTATTCTATAATTATATTATTTTGTTTTATTTCTGTACCTACTTGGGGTATAAAAGACGTAAATAATTAAATTTTTTTCTAAAATTAGTCAACATAATATGCTTATACAATAATACATTTTGTTAATTATTTAAAACAATTGTTTAAATCCATAATTACAAAAACCTAATCCATTCGCATTTATAGTATAATAGAAAATGTTTTAACTTACTTTTCTAGTCACAAATGATAGAGACTGATATTTTTACATCAAAAAGTTGTATTTAATGTTTTTAAAAACCGATGTCGCGTATAGTAATTGTACCCTAGAGCCCGCTTTTTTGCCCCTTAATTTACAACACCTTTGCGGCCGTATATTCACATAAAGAAAAATAAAGGTGTACCTCTACACAATATCGTGAAAAACCAATTATTTATTTTTGTAAGACGAGTCGCGAATGATTTACCGCCTTGTCGTACGACATAAAATATCGTTCGGGTAAAAAGAAAAAAAAAATAGTAGGTACAATGACGAACGGTCGTCCCCGGGAGTTCCTACCGTAGTATTGTTAGTATTATTAGTAATGATTTTTTATTTCACAGCCGTACAAATGTGGTTTAACTATGCTCAGCGTGTGCCGGTAGCGCGCAACAACGGCGGCGGTAGTCGTTCCAAAAACAATTCAAGGTCGACACACGCACAATAATATATGGGTATGCGATATAATATATATCTTATATATATACACACACACATAATATACTTTGTGTGTTCGCACTTCGCGTGTGTAATATAATAATATAAATGCGGATTTCGCAGCACATAGCCGCTGCCGATAGCGGCTATATGATGCGCTCAGTGTGACCATCTTAACGGCGCGACATTGTCTGCCAGACGTGGTGTGAGATGTCCCACGTCATATTTAGGACAACTGCGGTGGCGACACCTCGGTCGGACTGCTGCCCCGTTAAAAACATTCACAACAGGTATTATTATACATATATGTTAATATATTACACATTACATGTGTAATATGTTTATACAATTTGTATACACGCGTTCACCGTTTGCCCACCGGACATCAGGCGTCAGGCGATAAAAAAAAGTGAGGAATGATAGGTCAAACGATAAACCCTCGTGCATCAAATCAGATTGACATATGTATTATAATACCTAAGCATTGTTGGTCAATTCATAAACCATAGTCCGACTAATAATATAGTTAAATATTTATTTTAAATGACAAATGCAATATTTATATACATTTCAAATGTCAGACTAAAGGTTTTTAGAAATAATAATAATCGACTGAGATTTTATCACTTTACAAATAAACGCTTCGACACGTATATGTAGATACCAGATGATTAGTAGAAATAATAAATATCGATAAAAATATTGTAAAAGACAAAAATATGCTTAAAATTGTATTTTTCAATTAAGATACGGCATACGATTATAGTTGATCGTCCGTCTAATAATTCGTAGCAGTTTTTACTAATAGCAAAATGAATGCATTCACGTACTCTTATAGTTTCGACGGGGAGCTAAGATGGTAAAATTATAATACAAAATTATTTTTAGTTTTTATTTGGTTTGTTTTTGTTGATATTTTCTAAACCACTAAACCGATTTCTTTTAGCAGCAAGTCCATAAGTCAGAAATCGTATCCATAGGTAGGTTACTTTATTCGAATTATCTTCAAATTAAATGGTAGGTATATTCTTTAGACTTAGAGTTCAGATTAGAACAATTAATAAACGTTGATAAACCAAAAATCGATTACAGCTTTTAAAATTCCTTTCCTCTATAGGAGGGATGAACAAGAAAAAGAGAGGCAAATTGCTCTTTGACCAATGTCAATTTCTAGGGTGCTATGTGTAAGTAAATTAACAGTCAACAGGTATTTAAAAATATTTTCATTGTGTTGTTGATTACGAAATATGGGTAACGGCGGCAACACATTATGATAGACAGACGATCAACTCTAATCGGTACCTTTCTAATACCTAAAATATAATATTAAAAGTACATTATAACTCTTACAATACTTTTATTGACTTTTGTATTTTTACAATCTACAGTCGAAGCGTTTCTTTGAATGTGATTTTATCACATTCAATTCAATTAAACAAATTCCTGATGACTAGTGGCCACCCCGCTCAAATATGCTTCGACACCACTGTACTGGCTTTTTCCTAATAAAAAAGTTTAACTACAGCTTTTTAAAAAAAATGTAAATGTTAATGGTTGAGCCCTACTATATATTTATAGTGTTTATTTAGAACTAATTTAACTATTTTCAAAAAATGATCAAGTATTTGATTGGATTTGGTGTTCCAACTAATTTAATGAAGGACTCATTCTTCACTAAAATTGTTTGTTCGGTGCGATTTAAACATTGTTTGATCTTTTAAATTCCAAATAAAAGGAAGGAACCGGGGATTGTTACTATTACCACTAACATTAAGTTCTGTTAAAGTATGAAATGAGAGGTAATAACTTTCGAGTAAATGTTGTACACCTACATATTATGACTAATTTCAATAAAAATGACGTTAATAGGTAAAAATTTGCCGTTATTTTTCCTTGACACGTAACCTCAGAACATTTCCAACGTACTTGGATATCATTAAAATTGCGATTCTCTAACTCACATAACTTGCCCATTATTTCAGCCAGCGCGTCATTTAAGAAATACACTCATGTTAGGATATCCCATTTCATATATTTTGTTTTTGTGCATTTGTATGGTTATTGCTGTTGCCTGTAATAATTTACTATTATATTATTTGTAAATAGTGTTCATGTTATTTTTTTAAATTAAAAAAACAACTTGCCGAAAATTTAATTAACACTGTTTCATATACTTTTATGAAGATAATTGACATCAAGTTGTTAATTGGTAGATTAAGATCTAATTGTCATGTAATTTGTCTACATTATGTTTGTTTTTATTCTTATGTGGATTTAAACATAACTCGAGGCAGCAAAAGTCAAAACAAATTTCCTGAAAAGTTGTAAAAATGTACTAATTCTCTTTTTCGAACGTTGTCCTTGAATTGGCCAATTATCAACACTTTAATGGTAATGCGGTAAAAGTCCAATAATCCACACGACCGTGTGAATATTATCAATATTGATTTTTAGGTATTGTGAGTTTAATTCTGTGTTACACTCTCATTATTAATATTATTACAATTTAAAACTCCAGACGTCAATCACCATCCTCTCGAACCACCTAATTCAGGAAACGAATAAACGGCTATTTCATATTATGTTAAATACATTTTTTTAATATACCGTTTAGCGACAAAAATCGCAATAGTTAAGCATACGTGAATAAGGTATATTTTGTGTATGTTTAATTATAAGTCAACTAACCGTAAAATAAGCTGTGTACTCAAACATAAGTAAATGCAAATATCATTTAACAAAAAAACATCAGGCATTTCATATTACTATAACAATATTAATAATAAAAACGCGCGTTTCCGGGGTGTTTTATTTTAAATGGGACATTGCCCGCCGCTTTTGTTGTTTTGTGCGTTGACCGTGTACAAGAGGGACCATCGCAAAAAAGTATGGGCGTATGTATACTATACGCAGCGTTTACTTGTATATTATAGTACTATGGATTAATATTTTAAACAGCCGACGGAGGGGATTAACAGCACATCAGTAGAGGGACTACTGTCATCTGTTGAAGAGCAGCCGCTTGTCTTGTTTCCGTTCACCCTGGGATTGTAGACGCGCTTGTGTGGGGCACACGTCCTACAATATATTATACACATACATAAAATGAGCGAGATTATAAACAAGTGTCTTTTCCCCCACTATAAATAGTACATATAATAGTATATACGAAACAATCGAGTGGCCGAAAAATCGATTGGTGCGACAACCGTACATGCATCATCAATTTAGCATACGTCGGGCTTTAACTAAATATTTTTCATTTTTTATGCTATATTGTTATTGGTATATCTTATTGTCTACGAGAAGCTGAATGACTATCGATTAAAAACTACATATCTTATAGTATTATAAAACATTATACAAGCATTAAAAAAAACACTTTATGCGGTTTTAACCGGACCTATCCTAACCATACTTTATATCAGAAGTTGTTTAAATAAAAAAAAAATAATAATAACTGGTCTGTGACAGTGAAAACATGAATAAAATAATATATTTTGTAAAAAGTAATAAATTGAACGCTTCCTCAAATTTACCGGGATTGAAATCAAACACCAGCAACTAGGATATAAAAACCTGAAATGTTTTTGTACGCTAAAAAAGTAATTTTAGAAATACAAAGGAATATCAGCATTGGCAATATTATGTTTGAATAATTGCCAAATAAATATATACATAATATTATAAATAAATATCTACATTTATAAATGTGTATATTATATAAAATATATATAATATATGCATTCACGTTCTTGGGTAATGTAATATTTTGGTGTAGGCCTATAGGTAATTCGTCATACATTCACACGCTTTTCATACATTAAATCCAAATAACAATCAATTGAATGGGTGTCTGTAAAATGCGCTGATATTACACTTTTATTTTTAAAAATGTGTTTTTTAAACTACTAAAATATCTATAAAGCCGGGTACACACTAAGGCAACATTCAATAACTACCACATGTTTCGCTTTTATCGAAACATGGAAACATACTGATTACTGCAAAACAGTAATGTTGGTTTATGCTTAATGATAAAATTAAATAATATTTGCAGTGTGGTTTGTTGAAAAAGTACTATGACTATAAACATAACAGACCTATTTATAAACATAACTGACATGCCAGGTAGCTCTTAATTTGAATAGGTATAATTGCGAGTAATATCGAGGAGCCGTTTCGTCAAAATATTGGTTCAACGAGTGACTCAATTAGAGAGTTCAAACCCTTTGGATAAAACCTATTTTCAAACGGCAATTGCTGAATTATTGTGGTTACCTATGTGTTATCACTTGATGTTACTTACTAAACGTTAATTATGGGAATAGCTGGTCAAAAACTTTATACGGAACATAATTATTTAATTATATATTTAAATTACAAAAATCACGTGTCACTTGTTGAGTCAATAGGTATAGAATGCAGGCAGTATAGGGAAAAGCTCCTCTATAATACAACATATTGCATATTATACAACATAACTGTACAGTGACAACACGAAAGTAAATAATACAAATCAGTTTTTCATATTCGCGTAGTTCATTACATTATATAAAATCCTATAGTTTGTGCATAGTTAGATTACTTATTTTTAAATATGGAATTTTTGAAAAACGTGATGTGTTAATGTGTACGGCTGAATTTCAAGTTATTCAAAAACATCCTGTACAACAAATATACTGCCCGCGAGTAGGCAATTTAAATCATTAATTTCTGGCGGATAGAAATATGAACCACAATGCGACAATATACATATAATATGTATAGCCGGTATATTTGTAGCATGGAAGATGGACGACGTCCTTCGGTTCTACAAAATGACAAACTATATAAACAACAAAAATGTCAATTTGCTTACATAGACTTTTAAGTATATTTTTAGTAATATTATACTACTCATCTATGATATACTAGGCTAGGCTATAACGGTCGCCGATATAAGGATAGGTTTTTAAGGTTTAGAAACCAATCTAAAGATTTTTATTTCTTCTTTGAACTCGAGCTTTAGAACAAACAATTGTTATAATAATTATGTATTTTTTATTGTACATCGTTGTCCTATAATTAAAAACCTTTCGAAAAAATTGTGTTGGTCTCTGACACGAAGGAAATAGTAAATTTCACTGATGGCCATAAAAAATTAGTATATCACATTTTTTTCCCCGCAAAAACAATTATATTATTACACTAAACAAATTTTACATTGCACCGAACATATGCTATTATTCACGGGAAAAATGTATAACAAAAATAAACAAATAGTTATTGTACTATATAATTTGTGGCGTATTTCTATAAATAAATAGCTGGCAAAATATGATGGACACACACAACATGACGAAAAGTTAACGAACACCAATTGTTATAACAACGTAACAACTCAACGCGATTATATAACGTAAAAACATAATCATAATAATGCTATACAAATTAAACTCTCTTTGAAGTTTTAACAAACATATTTTAGCTTGACTACAGTCATGCAAAACATAATACGATCTATATGTGATGAATACAAAATAGCTAACAAAGGCGCTGTACAAAACATGATATTGAACAATTTAATTATAAATTTCAATAAATTATAACGCCAAACGCTAAAATCCTTTAATGCGTCACATAAATATATATATATATATATATATTTCACATAGGATTAAGTATTAACGATATAGCTCAGTGACTCATTTTTACATTCATAAGTTTTACCGACTAATCTGTTGAAATAAGACCAATCCTTTATAAGGTACTAAAAAAATCACTAGTGTAATTTCTAAAGAATCAGTGCAGTAGGTTTTGTCACGTTTGAACGATAACAATAGTTTTGGACGTTTCAAATACATCTCTATTGTATTTATTGTGTCATACATACATGATGCGATTATTTCTTGTTTGTAAATTCACATTTCCTACTTTGAGATAATATTATATGCGGAAGACTCTCTAATCGTTTTATACGAAGTATGATATTTTTTAAGTTAAATAATTTAAACTCTAAGATATCACTCAGGCATACTAAATGTAGATATTATGTAATATGTAGGTACTCGGTCACGTGTAGTAGGTATTCTCTTTATGCCACTGTACGTAAATTGTTTGAGTTCACTTTATGAGCATTAGTTATTTAATAAATAATTTCACTGTGTTGCGATACACATGCGATCACTATTAAATTAAAAAAAACATGATAAACTTCTCAATTTTTTTTTTTATAAATAAATATTACATGTTAATATACATGTTTATGTAAAAATTAAAATAAAATGGCATATAATGCACACAAATGATAAAAGTAGAACATTACATACGGTTTAACAAAATACCTACGGTGGAAAATAATGCCGACGTATGTATACAATGCTAAATATTTCATCGACGCTTAATAATATTATGACGTCCGGTCATTTCCTAAATTTTACAACCTTACACTGCAAATTATGTTGTTTATGCTTTTCGGTGCGTTGTATATGTTTCCGTTTAATTTAATTTAGTATGATTTGTCTTTCTTTTAGTAATCTTGAACCAGTTGCGCCGAAGTCCATACTGGGGTCGGGCCTAGACCCGACCACTTTTTCAAAAATTTCGCATTAATATATATAAACGTTCATGCTGAGGCCGCTAAGTTTTGGAATTGCCCGATCACATTTTCAAGACTTCGGTGCCACTGTCTTAAACTATAGTGTCTATAACACATATGAGCACGGTAGAATGTATACTGTATAATTCACTTTTATGTGACGTTTAGTCTAAATAAACTATTTTTATTTGAAATTTTGACAAAACTTTACTTGTAAAACGAAAGGATGTTTTTTTAAACGAACGAGGCCGATAAAAAAAAACTAACTATTAATATAGTCCCGTTTTTATAATAATATATTTTTTCAATTTAGATGTTGTGTAAAATGTCTTGTTCTATTACCGCCGAACCCCATAGCAAATAGATGGTGTCATTGTGGCAACTCCTTTATGTAAGGTGGGTTGGTATATAATTATAATAATAATAATAATAATAATAATAATATAAATATTTAAACGCCTCAATTGCATGAGTGTAACATACAAATAAAATAATTAAAAATTATAAATGGTATAAACAAAAAGAAAAAAACATGAGATACCATAACCATGCATAATCTTTAAAATAAACATTACCAAACCAATTGTATAAAGATGACATTAATTAAATTATTAAGTAAAAATGAGCCTTAATCAGTTATGGGTTAAAATGGGTAAAAATGTTGTATCGTTTAGTTCGCCTGTGATGTTTAATTTTTCACTAAAGTAAATAATAAAACAGTTTATAACATTTTTTTATTAAAACGTTTCACACGAACATTGTATGAACGGTGAACAGTTGAATTATTATTATAGATACTATAATGCTTTATATAATGTTTTATATTGCTGAACAACAGTTTATTAAAGCGAGTATAACAGCTTTCGCCGTCTAGTCCCACGATGTTTATGAGATAATCACAATGCATAACATGTATAATATTCGTACTATTGTCTGCAATTATAAGGTAAAAGTTACCTGTATAATACAGGCAATAACGACCAGGAATTAATGCTTAAATGTATCCGTCCATCTATGTATTCCGGAACTAATCGTTTTTACAGTTCTTTATTGGTTCGGAATTAATAGTTATAATAGCTATTCTTTTTTTATTTTATTTTTTTATCTTTTGTTTTGGAACAAATTGGTACAACTAAAAAGTGTATTTTAAGTATAATTAAATATATTTATAATTATATATTATACATATATATATAACAAAAAAAGATAATTATATTTATTATGTACACAAGCGGTAGCTGCAGATAGTATTATCTAAAACGATACACCGCTTGACACATGTTATTTGATACATCGTACTATACAGTAAAACGTTAGCAATTACAATACTCATAGCCCATATTGTACAACCAACTTATAGCATGATTATTGAACAATGAATTACTATTATTAAAAAACAAAAGGTTTTAAACAAAAAATGGTATTGAGATCCACAAAAATTACAATGTGGATAGCGCTCGGAAAATAATCAATACATTTATAGTTGGAATAACCTACTGTTAATTGGATTGTCTCCCTATATTGATTTTCTATTTTTTTGGGGAAGGTCTGTAGTTTTCCTAATATAACTTAAGAAATATATAAGATTTTTTATAATCATACTTAAAATTGTAGTTGAAAATTGGTAGTGCGTAGGTTAGATTGCACTTTGGAGATTTCTATAAGTGTATAATATAAGAATAAAAACTACTTCAAGTTTAGAATGAATGAATGGTGTTAATATGAAGAAAAAAACAGACGAACGACCTACTTGGTGATTTACTGCAGCACACACTGTGGAGGACGACGACAGTTATTTAAGAAAAAAGTAAATCGGTCCGTAGCCGTAGCCGCTTACTCGGTGCTTAAACACACACGCACATAACACGGTAGGTATATACCGCATTCCAAGGTGAAATCGACCCGATGCACATTACACCGCTGCACATAGTTCCTATGTATGTACATCGCATAATAATGTAACTGTGTACGCGTACGTATTCTTGTATATTTTAACGAAAGTAAGTGGAGTTTACGAACTAAGGGAGCAAGTGAACGTATATGAAAAGAGTAGAACTTATCATTTATTTTATTATTAGGGTTAGCATACGATTTAATTGAATTAAGTACTTAAACCATAGTTTACATGTATATATTGACGTCTGTAGGTGTTGTATTATAATTTCACCACATTAAAATAAAATAACGTGGCATTCTATTGCTATAAAGTAATTGCGTCATTTGAGTTTATCGATATGTATGACATAGTTTACCATTGTAGATTTTATATGGAAAAACAATATAGTTGAGATTTTTTAGTTGCACGCATGAAGATCATTAAATTAAGAAAGCACTATCGGTGATGTGCTCATTCATAACTAACAGTAAACGGTCTGTGGGTTGTTGTCATGTCACTTGTCAGTGTCAAAATGAGTCAACAACTATAGATTTATGATAAAAAAATCGACACAGCTATATTGATAAACAATATCAGTCCGATACGTAAAAAAATTGTAAAAATACGTAAAAATCCCAGGAACGAAAGGGTTAAGTCTCAAAGATGTTTAACTCTTAAAAAAGTGTCCAATGAATTTTTTTTCTAATACCAACTTTACGTTACAATATTGATGTATCCAAAATTTCTGATGGCTGGTGGCATAACAAATCTGACCGTAAGAACATTAAAATTGCCCTTTAGTAGTATGGGCCAAATTGAGTAAAAAAAAAAAATTGTTTTATTGTTTATGTTGTCGTCAGTATAGCCAGACGATTGAGCTACAATATTAAAATAATAATCACATTACTCATAGCTCTCATTGTTTATAACACATGTGTAGGTCATTGAATTTCCATACCGGAAGCTCGGCTGACTCGTATTGTAGCATCCGATATTAAACGACAGCTATCATGTGCGTGACGTTATCGAACGGCGATAAATGATATTACTACTGAATCGTATGGTGAAGATGTGTAGTCCGTGCCGCCAAGCCAAAACACCGGACGGTCGCACGGAGGTACTTAAACGACTGCACCGGGCCACATCACCAACAGAAGTCATCATCATGAATTCCTTCAGTTTTATTGTTGCAGTCGTTACTCTGGCCATCCAGGTATGTAAAACATTATCATAGTCTAATCCGAAATCGACTTAACCTGAAACATTAGCGGTTCTGGCATACGGATAAGAAGTGTAGTTGCGCTCACGTTAAAAATCATAGTCTTCCATTAAAAATCATAGTCTTCCATTAAAAATATAATATACATATATTATGAAGTAAACTAATATGTAACGGTAAAAAAAAACTAATTACATAAATACCATTGTGCTGGCATCATAAAAACTACAGACATTATATAATAAGTGGTTTTCATGAAAATTTTCATAAATTGAACTTAAACAGAACCATCATTTAAGAAAAAACTAATTTTTTATGTTGTATTTTGTATATTTCTAATTAATTTTTTTGTTTTGTTAAAAAAACATCTCGTTATCTGGAAAAAGAGCACCCGAATCTTCGTCTGTTAAAGGGAAATAATTTGGCATAATCATATAAAATCCACAAAATAATTATTTTTTTAAACTTCTTACTATTTTTTTAAAGATATTTAAAGCCAAAATGTTATACAATAAAAGAATTGAAACCTTTTATTTGGCGTATTCTCAAAACTGTAATTTTGATTTTTGTATAAAAGCCCTTTGTCCAGAGATGGATCAATTGTCATAAATATAATTGCATTACATGTTACAATTAATTTTATTTCACATTAAGTTCACATTAATTAACATTAAGTTTGTCATACAGGTTTACGACACTTCGTCCTGCGATTGTATCTGCCCCAAGCCATTATTCAAGCCGTTCAACGTTCCAATTCCTTTCCCTATCCTGAAACCCATTGCCGCGTCGTTACCGTGCTCTCTGGAGAAACCGCCAAAAATCCCGTTGTTGCTGCTCTCCAAACTCTTGTTCCCACTACTCAAGAAATGTGGACCCCTGCCCTTGCCCTTACCTCTGCCTGTATCGGCGCCTAAAATATGTCTGCCGGCTCCAATTTCGAAACCAGTACCATGTTTACCTCCAGTCGTCCCCGCACCCGCACCCGTTTGTACTGATCTTTCTTCTGAACTCTTGGCTCTGTTGCTCAGTGCTTCTCCAATAGCTTTGCCTCAACTAACCCCATTGGCTCCACCGGCTCCTTGCGATATTTCTCCAGCGTTGTTGACAAGCTTGCTGTCCTCGTTAAACGGGAAATGCACCCCACCTCCCGTTGAGTATGCTTCACTTGCCCCCATTGCTATCCCGTCTACTCCTCCAGTGTGTCCATCGAACCTCGATATCCCAACCGAACTTTTATTAAGCCTTCTATCCCCAACATCATCCGGTTACTCTCCGTGTTATTAATTCGTTTTGTAAATAGCAAAATCGTTGTGTTATAATATACTTACAAAATGTTTACATCTAAAAAAATTAAAAATGTTTTTACACATATGCAAGTTGTATTTTATTATTTAATTGTTTACTTTAACATGAACTTATACATAATGTACAAACACTATTTACATATGTTAAATAAATGCACCGTACACCTGTCCTTACCAAATGTTTTGTGTTGTATAGTACTTAAGTAGTACATATTAATTAATAACTTTTTTCAATAATATAACTTTTACTTCACTTACTTAATTGATACTGCTGGAGATTTCTTTTGTTAAATTTTTTTAAGTGCGAAAAACCTTGTATTTTTTAATAGTAAATTAGTGCTAGTTGAGCATTTCAAGCAATAACAAATTTGACTCAATAAAAATAAATATTAAATACATGTATCTTCAACAGTCCTGTATGCATACAAACCATTGTACAAAAGAAGAGAACGGATAATTTAAGAGTTATATAATTAATTATTCGTATATTAACAAAAATTGTTTGAGCAATAAAAAATATAAAAATAATCTCAGCCAAAAAATTCCGGTTTAACTTTTACATTATTATAGGTAACTGGTAATTACTAATTACTAACTTCTGATCAGTGATTAAAAACTTTTTTTTAAATTTGTTCCATGAAATATTAAATTAAATATAAAGACATGCTTTATAAACTGTAAATATTTAGTTAATAGTTATTATTTAATATATACATAGCAATAGTACACGTGTCAGTAGGAATTGAAGCCGTGTATAATTATAACGCACTATTATTTTATATAAGTACAGTATCTAAGGTACTCTTAGAGTACGTTGAACATCTTGTACAACAATTAGCTAATAGCCAAATGATAATAATAGAAAATATATTTGATCTCGCGAGTCGTGACTATAAATAACACAATATGCTTGACTTATTTATTGTAGGGGACAGAAGTGACAATTCAAAAGTATAGATATAGATGTAATGAGTTAACTAAATAGTATGTCTTTTTCGATTATTATTTACTCGATTAAACAAAATACTTTGCCACTAGTTTTTATTGTAGAGCAGCATTTTATGCTATTTAACTCAACAATTATCAATTATATGTGGCGGTTCGATTCAGTGGAAGGCATGAGTTTGGTCAATTATCAATGTACACAGGTAATAATTCATATTTTAACGCAGCCTTGTTCATAATGTTTTTTTGTAGCTCATTCGTAAAATCAAAGTGGTAAAATGTACTATAAATGTATTGTACAGTACATAATAATTTACTAAAGCGGTTTATACATTTTAAGATATCTATTTAGAATTGTTTTGAAACTCAACGAACTAGTGCAAGTAAAAATAGCCCCACAATTAAATCGATTTATATTAACGTAGTAAATAAGAAGTAAAATCTAATGATATATTATCTATATTGCATAGTATAATATGTATACCTATTGTTTAAATATAGCTGTAATTTGTAACTGGCGTTGGTATTCGTCCTACCCGATAAAAAACTTGACTGGCAAGAATTAGCCAAACTAGGTAATTAAAAATGCAACTGTCGTGGTCGGCTACGATCTGCTATAGCGGTTAGATCTGGTGGACCTGTCACTATTTGCATAAAGTGTGTGGTTGTTCTTCGATCGCCAGCGCCGTGACCGGACATCATATTTCGCATGCGACCGGCAACGACTTCCGGCATACCGTATCCGTTGATAGGCCCGTCGCCCGCTGTCTCCACAAAAGCTATCATCAACCGCGTGTGTACCATTATGCTGTATGCAATAATTTTGAAAAATAATAATATTACAACTATAAATAATTGATTTATCGCTATCGGCGTTTCTATGATTTTTTTTTTACAGGAAAAAAACAACAATTTGGTTTGTGTCTCAACCAGACTGTTATTCCACTTATTATCCATATCAACCGCAAAAATTAAATTGCATTGCATAATGTAACAATATTATGTGGATAAGTGAATGATTTTTTACAAAAAGTCAGTATTTTTGACATAAATAAAAAGTTAACAAAAATGTATAAATATGATTTTTATTAGAAGGTTATTTACCCAATTTTTTCCATGGTGATAGCTCAAAATCACAAATTGTTTTACTTGTGTCATTTAAGAAACATTGCATAAAATGTATTTATGTAGTTATTAGGGTGAAAAACAAGGGTGGGGGATGGGGAAATTCATTCTTGTATTATATTCACGGGGAGAATCCTAAACAATGGCCATACAGTACTGTGCCATTGGAAAAACGACAAATTATGCTAATGAGGGGTGCGTTAATGCTATCTATCTAATCTTATATACGTGTGTAGTACCTAATGTGTATTTTATTAACGGTTAATATATTAGATACATGCGAAATAATGTAGGTAGGTACGTTCAGTTAAAATCACCTATCGTTATTGCGTTTAACCAAAAGGTACTAATTAACGGAATTAATGTATTGAAGATTTGTACAGATTGCGATGTGTCATAGGAGACAACGAGACAATGTATACCCACCTAGAATATGGATGAATAATTTTTTTATTATTATATGTAAATTACAAATATTAATGAAAAAAAATATGTATATACATTATTTTCAAAACCTTTTTTCTTTGTTAGTTGCGGTGGAATTTTCAAAAACATTTTTTTTAAACTTATGTAACATGTTTGTAGGTGTATGCCATTTATTTTACGGGAACTTTCGAGAGAAAAAAATGTATTTAACTTGATGTTATGTAATATTGTGTTTGTGGATGTAAGCCACAAGTGTAGGCCATTTATACAATATAAATCCCGTACTATGGATGATTTGAAAGCGGCAATTCGTACAGAGGTGACACTAATCACGAGGGAGACACTAGAACGAGCGTGGAAGAACTTCCTCGAAAGAATTGAAAATTGCCTCATGGAAGACGGACATCACCTTCCTGACTTCATTTTTGCTACTTGAAGTAAATGGCTTACACCCACAAACATAACATTACATTATATCAAGTTAAATAATTTTTTTTTTTTCGAAAATTACCGTAAAATAAATGGCATACACCCACAAACATGTTATATAAGTTAAAAAAAATTGTTTTGGAAAAATTAATATTATTTTGCCTTTTGAAAATGTAAAGTGTTTTCGTGGTCACCCTGTATTAGGCATAATAACGAATTAATTAGTCAGATTTTAAAAGATGGCATTCAAAACTACTTACGAAACAAAATATATATGAATACAAAATTAAAGAACGACACTCATTTTAAATTTAACAACTGTAGACAGAAAAACGATTCGAAAATTTCATTATTTTATTTATTGTAACATTTTCCCCGTTTTAATTAGTTTGAAAAAGTTTTTATCTTTTTTAATTTACTTACGTTAATTTTGTTTCTAATTTTTGAACATATTTTTTTTTTACAGTATAGTCCGTATAGTATAAATTAAATTAAATGGACAAGACGCGTAGCACTTTTTATTTTTAGCAGTGGTATATATAGGGGAGGGTTTTGGGGGTTCATCCCCCCTCCCCCATTAATTTAATATTAATTAAATCTATTCTTATTTTATAACTCCCCTAAAATTATATCTTATATACGCCACTGATTTTCAGCTTCTCCCTGACCTAAAGATCTACGCCTTATACCATTGGTCGTTTGTATATTATAGTTATGATTAGAGCCTATAATAGGTGTTTATTATTATTGTAATAAAATATAAAACAAACGCCAGCAGAGAAAATTAAGAATTATGAACACACGTGCGGTTACACAAGAAATTGATAAACGTACCTAATTAATTATATTCGTCATAAGAAACCATCTCATGATGGCAGCGTTGGGCCTTCATGGCCTGTTAAGCAACATGATGATGATGATGACATGACCTAATTCATTATAATAATTCTAAATGCACGTAAGCACGTTCATGCAATCCGACAATATAGTGTTTATTCATCAGCTGACCGCATTATAATAATACCTTATATTATTATACTATACCATAGGATACGCGTAAATGCATAGTCGGGTGTATAACAGTCGATACTATGGCAACGACGCGACGGGTTGCAAACAATATAAACACATATACCTATCCAGTTTAAAATACTATAATAGCTAAACACGCTGCTGAAAATAATAGCAATAGTATACACTGTTGTGAAAAATACATAAACAGTAAACACCGAAGCGATCGTCATACACCATAAGCGAAACGCATCACACTGGAATGACACAAATGTCCGTGTCCATGCTAACCAGAACCATGGTAGAGGCTGCCGGTGACGGTCCTGTCAACGGGATCGGCATGCCTTACAACCGGATCCGTCGCATGATGGCTATGGTGCACACACGCGGTGCCGGCGATGGTCGGATCAGCATCGGACACATCTTGGTCGGTCGGTCCATCGCTGCGGGAGGCCGCCGTGGCATCTTCGTTGGATCGATGGCCGTTGTCGTTTGATCACCACATGTTATAATATTGTCGCCATTCGTCTCAACACTGTTATTATAATCTTACCTAAAATCCAATACAATAATTTATAATCCGTACATATTATGTTTCCTTTTATTGGCAATACAGTAAAAAAAAAGTCGAGAATCCCGAAAGTTTCGATATTATACAATGACGGTACATCAGACTATACCTAAGTAATAACCTCTACGAAAATAATAAACCTATAATATGAGGAAAATTGTTCGACACATAAGCACAGATATATTTTGTTTCATTACTCTGTAAAAACTTTATACGTCGTATCAGTGCCGGTCGCTATATGATTTGCGAAGCCCTGTGAAAATTATAAACGCGAGGCTTCAATATAAACTATATTACCGTATTTTATTCGTACATGTTTATAATATTTTAAGATTGTACTTTTAATAACAAGTTTCTATCACTGTTGTCTGTATATAGATCATTAGATATACATATTAACATGTATGACATAGTTATAGTTTATTGTTTAGAAAAACAGTAAAATAAAGTAAATTATAAACATTAAATATGACAAAGTTATTTTTATTATTAAATATTATTGTTAATAAAAATAAGGTTAAAATTAATAAAATGCAATGCATACACTCAGGTACACTAATAGGTTCACTAGGTACATCAATTTTGTAGCACGATTGTCTGAATAAAAAGTGATTTAGTCTCTCGTGACACGATTTTTAATTATGTTAGTATAATTGTATGTGTTACAAGGAATAAATACCAACGTTTTATATAATATATATATATATATAAAAGTTTGAGGCCCTGTGCGGTTACACTTTTGCACACCCTTCGGGCCGGCGCTGAATTACATACAACTGTGTCATTCAGTGATACAACCAACAATTAGTTTAAATGGTTATTATATTAGGACCTAAAAATTAGGTTAATCCTTCGTTACATTAAAATTCATAGTATAATAGTACTTATGATAACTGTATAAATGACAAAAACTCGATTAATAATAGTTGATACCGAAAATTCAGTATACAAATATTAAAGACGATGATATTGTAAAAAAAAAATGATGTAGTAAAAATAATGGTCGTCCCTATATCTCCAATAATGCAGTTTCAGCACTAATAAAAATATATATTTTAGGGAGGAAGAGTATAACTCTTACTCTAGACGGAATTCGGAGGATCTGGAAGGCTTAGTCTTAATATTTAGCCTGAAACATTAGCCTTAAATATATATATATATTTTTTTATTTATTATATTTTAATTGTTTCAACATAATCTTGTTTTTACAATATTAAATATTTCTATAACCACCTAAAAATGTTTTCGCCGTATATTTATTATTTAAATGTGAAAAACGTTGTGTACGCACTACGCTAAACATTGACAATGGTTTACAAAAAAGTACATAGCGTACTAACTGTAAATAGATTATTTTAAAATAAAAAATGAAGTCCTTAAAGCAAAAGTATTTTACATTTTTTATTCTCTCAAAGATTTATACTATTTTATTCGTTAAATGGAAAAAGTTTACCTTCCTATTTTTAATTCAAGGCTTCGACTAACCAAAATGTAAGACCCCCTAAAATAGTTGCTACTCATTCGGGTTCGACTATGCTTCGAGGGATCAAACAATAATGGAAAATCTAAGATAATGAAACATAAGATATCCCGCGAACCGGGAAAGGTGTTCTGAAAATAACGACTGATTCATAACCAATAAGTTTAATTAGCATATTATAATATAGCGTATATTAATGTATAATATTATAATATGTGTGGTCGACCAGTTAATATTTTCAGAAAAAATCTATTTTTTTTAAATAGTAATCCTCGATTAGTTTTTAAAAACTAATATTTTGTTCATTTAATCCAAACACGTTTTTCTGAATTAGAAATGGCATAAATTGAATATTTGATAATAAATCGTTTTGTGTTATATTTCGTTTGTATTCATGTGATTATTTAATATTATAATAAAATGATTTCAGTGTGGGATTCATTATTTGTTTCCTATGTAATAAATAAAATAATTTAAAGTAGCGGGGAAAAAAAAGAAGGCGTTTCGGCGAAGACGGTAGGGTCGATAATATTACCAGCTGAGAACGCATTTATTAAAAATTACTCACAAAAAATGTATACAGCTTGCAAAGCTATATTATATAGTTTATATGTATTATACTATAGTGCGGTTTTGGTATACTAAACGGCGTATTATTTGGCAGATAATGTTAGCATGTGGGCAGTTGCCTAGGGCAGCAATTTTTGTTCTAATCAGAGAACACTATATGTAAATCATGGTAATAATGTGACATGTAGGATTTGTCTATAGTCGCAGTGCCACTTAAACTAAATTGCCACTTTTGAGCAAAATTTGTCGCTTTTATATTTCCAAGTTGAAGCAACTATAAATTTAGTTCGCCCAATTAAAAATTTAGTCGGGCCAACTATTTATTTAGTTATTCCCACTAGAAATGTATTGTGTACCCATATTAACCATAATTTTAGTTGGACCAACTAAGTATTTTTTCCCGTGATTAATTGCTATTATAAATAACAATAGATTATCAAAATACATAAATCATATCTAATATTAGTAGAACATATTACATATAATGTTTGAAATATAAATTGGTATAATAAATTCACTTATACGTTACCATAATTTGTAACAGTAAAATAATTATTAAGTTTTGGGATTTTTCTTTCTATCGTTATTTTTATGTTTTTCGTTTGGCGTCTGTTTGAAATCTGCGCCGTCTAATTATTTAAGTCTTTTGTACGACTAATTTTTTTTAAAAAACTCTTTACAGTTTTACTAATAAACCTATTATTTTAATACATTAATGTACGTACACATACTTTAACACTCATCAACGACACAGACTGATAGACCAAATTTGATATTGACATTAAAACGATCACATCATTAAACAATAAAATTTGATAACAATATAATGGAGTCCCCCGACCGTTATCGATGAAGAGGACATTAGATAAAAATAATCCGTTTATATGAAACTATATCCTTATCGTCAGACAGGGACACCGTGGCGATGCGGTCCGGTCATACGTATATGACATATGTTATTTACATTGTATTTTTAATATTATTAATTTTATCATGTTTGTGTAATTCAATGTTGTGGTATTAATAAACCAATGTATTTAATATAAAAATGAATAATAATTTAAAAAAAAAACATTTCTAAAAAATAGTATTATATACACAAATAATTATAAACCTTACCTACTTATTTTTAATACTTTGAATACTTTATTTTGTATTTTGCTTCAATATTGGTTCCCCAAAAAATTACCGTTTGCCAAGCACTATAAAATTTGCCGTCCCGGACACCTGTCCCCCCCCCCGTTAAAAACGGCTCTGTGTCTATGACAAGAAATCCTTTTAACCTGCTTCTGAGTATATATTACTCTTATTTAATAATAGGTATATTAATGTATTAATAATAATACATATATCATCACTACAAAAGCAGTTATAATTGTACTTATAGTTTGTATAGAATATATATATATATATATATATAAAAAAAAAATTTGGCTTTTTAAAATTTTTGGATATCAGTCAAAGCGGCGCGTTTCAAATTGCATCCCGTGGTGTTAAATGTTTGGGTTTTAAATTTCAGTCGGAGCAGATTTTCATAAGTTCTGTACAGAGCCGTTGAACCAAAAGCGGCCGCAGGTGAATATTCAGGGGGGGGGGGCATAATTTCGAGGGGTACCTAAGATTTTGTATTAAATTTGAGATATTGGATATCATTAAAAACAACTTGCAGAGAAGCTAGGGGGGGAGTTGTTTCCCCTGCCCTCTCCATGGGCGCCCTTGCGTTGAGCGCTATGATTTTTTTGGCTTTTTGCCCACTCTCACACAATTTTTTTTTTTTTTGTTAATAATCATACGCATAAATTGCATGCGAGTAAGTGAAATCTGTTTTTATAATAGTTAGGAACAAGTTTGATTGTGGCTATAAGCTACTTTAGAAGATGGCCGAGTGTCGACTGGTACCTACTGGGCAACGGAACCGCTGTACGATGAAGAGACGGAGGGACAAAAAACAAAAATAATCGATATATCGGTGGCCTCGGTGAGACGGGTACGTGCCGGGGGGGGGAATCCCAACGGCTTTGGCGAACCCCCACCGAGACGGCGGCGACGGCGTCCACCGGGTGACGTCACCGGGCCAATGCCGACGGGCCACCCGGGCGGAGCGCCGACGCGGTCGTCCAATCAGGCACCGTCGACTCCTTCCCCTAGGCGCCGGTGTCCGGGACCCGTTTCCCGACCGCCGTCGCGTCGGTCTGGTTCGGCGGCGACCGGCGTCAGTCTCTAGTCCGGTGCCGCGCGCAACGTTCGCGAAGCCTTTCTCCCAGCGTCGCTCTCGATAGTAGTGTAAATGCCCTGAACACCCGTATCAGCTGTTGTGCGCCGCGTTACCACCCGAAAGTGTTCTCGAACGTGTCAATTGCAATGCGATCAGTGTTCAGCCGCGTTGTCGGGTAAACGAGTAAAAAAAACCGCAGTGTTCGGTTATCAGTTTGCGCCGCCGCGTGTTTCGTGCGTGTTATGAACCTAACCGATAACAAGGAAAACTAGGTGAGTGATATTTTGTTATATTCGAAATTTATCGAATTACCAAAATTTGGTTAATTTCTATGATTTTTTGTGATTTTCAATTAAATTTCGACAGTAATGTCGTGTGTCTGTGGTGTGTGTATGTGTTCGTAGCGTATAGAGAGAGAGAGAGCTGGTAAAAATATTTCGCCGTCGGTCACCGGCGGTGGTCTATTTCAATAGTGAAAACCCGTGTGCACACCATCCGGCAACGTCGCACTCGGCGGCCACGACGGTTCCCCTCTATGTTTTGTACGCTGCCGCCGTACCGAGTAATATTGTTTGAGTGCGTGTGGTGCGCAGCCCATGTGAAACCCCGACATTGCAACCGCTGTCGCTTGTAACATAATGCTTCCACTGCCCCTGCGCCTCCTCCGCCGCTACTACTCTTCACACCCGGACCGACCGTCTACGGCTCACGCACGCACAGTCGTCCGTTATTATCCACACATACAGCCGCTCCGCCGTACCTAACCCACCCGGGTTTCCTTCCCCGCGCGCACGATCCACCACACCCGTCCGTCGAGCGGTACCCGTGCAATGAAAGCCAATTTATATCATAACCCCCTTTTCGTTTTTTTTCTCCCCCGTTTTCCCTATTCTTTTTTTTCTCCACCGTTATCCCCTCCGGGTTTTTTTTGCATTATATTATTATTATTGTTCGTATCCGTCCTTGTTCCCTTTTATTATCATTTTGTATTCACATCGTTACCGTTTTTTTTCTCCTAATCGCACGATACAAATAATTAAAACGGCTTTTCCTTTATACCGGTTACGTGCTCTCCCTCCCACTCCTACCTTTTTACTGTGTGTCTCTTTCGTATTATATATTATATATATTACGGTCGTGTCGTTCACTCGTTGGAGACCGGTTTCAACGTGATAACGTTTAATGTCTATTGTAAATGTGTGGGGGAGGAATACTGGAAAGTGGTGTTGTACACATTTTATTATAAAAATAATAATATGTGCTACAGTTTATATGTTCATAGTAGTATCAGTTTATTAAAATCTGATTTTATCGGGTGTTCGTGTGCAGGGAAAATGACCCTTTCCTGACGGTGTCCTCTCATTATGATGTACACTATAAGAGAGACGCGTACCATTTTCCCGGCCATATGAAGGGGAAGAGTGGAAACCGGATGTCCGCGCAGTTTGATACAGTTTTTATTGTTGTACGACAAACGAGGGGAGATAGTGGCGGCCAATGAAGAGGTGGGTAAAAAGTTTCCTCATAGCTGTTGTGCTAATGATTTACCCCGCGCATTCCACCCCATGCCGGTCGTATCAACAAAACAACATTACCATGCGGATAGAAATGATTACTTAAGTTCACAGGACAATAATTTAATACAATATATTCACCTATATAAACATCACTAGGACAGCTGATCGGGTTTTCGTTTACTCCCGATTTTAAACAAAACCGAACCGACTTCAGCTTTATATTATGATATTAAACTAGCCATATTAGTCCGGAGTGCTTACAATTCTCAATGTATAAAACCTATCCGATGTAATGTATGAGAAATTCGTTGGCTAGCACTTAATGACACGGTGTAAGGGAGGAAGGGGTTTGTGAAAACTCTTGTATATTTTATAATTTAATAAACTGCAAGCAGCCCACACGCGGGGTAGTGTAAACCGACGAGTAATCGTTAACGTTTCGAATTTTTATATCGTCTGACCGTCGCTAAATTGTTTTTTTTTACGAAGACATTGCGTCCAGCACAGCTCTGGAAGGTCTTTTATTTTTATCGCAGCTTGTCGTATCTTAATTTCGTGCAGCATGCGTGTTTATATTATATATATGTATATATATATTACCTCTACACGTAATACTAATATATTATATTCCCCTCTTCCTCCTCGCGTCCCACTACATTCTTCGGGGTCCTAAAACAACCGGTTCCCCGTGTTTGTATACTGCACATCCCACCATGCCTCGCCGCCTCTCACGCATTTAACCGAACGACCCCTCTGTACTTGTGTGTGTGTGGTTATATATATATATATATATATAACCACGATATATACAATATATAAACGCGTTGAGTTTCACATATAAATGTGTATAGACATACCCGTGTTTATAATATATACCCGACAATGTTTCCCATTCCGGAAATTATACCGGTGGGCCTATATAATGTTATATATATATTTATATAATATATAGGTAGACATGCATAAACAAAAGGCCGTTTGCAGCCCCTATTCCCCCCCCCACTCGATGTGCGCGCACATAATATATGTATGTATGGATGTGTGTGTGTGTATATACGGTATACCGCTCGGCGTGTATCGAAATGTGCGGGGAATAAAACGACGGTAGCAGCTGCAGTCCTCCTGCCATGTACAAAACTGCGGCCGGCTTGTGCCGTAGGGAAGAAAATGGCATTTGAAAATTTCATTACGCAACAATGGACGACACAAACATATGAGTTGTTGCAAAAAAAAAAAAAACTAGTTTTGCTCACACATGTCGATAGAGGACGACAGCAACCGGCCGTGCGCGAGGCAAACGGCGGGACAATAAAAATAAATATTTCGTCACACGCGCTGTGTATAAAATAATATATATTATATCTATATAATAAGAGACGAGTCCCCTTTTTTCGCACGAACCCAATACAATGGAAGATCCGTTGTAATCGAATTTTGTTTGACAAAAGTCGGCGCGGCTTTTTTCCGTAGATATATTATATGATGTATAAGTACCTATTAGATAGTCCCCCCCCACCCCGCTATAATATAACATTATAATAATATAGAGTTAGATCCGTCGGCGGCAAATAATTGACGAACTCATTGTGTCTTAGGCATTACGTTTTCGCGGAATCCTGGTGGTTTGTCTTTTTTTTTATTCGTTCAAAAATATCCTCACAATATTATGCGTTACATAATATGGCGGGTCCTGCTCCTATGATCCATTGTCGAAAATCGCCATGTACAATAACAATGGACCGTAAATCGTTAAACGTTTTTTTTTTCACAATCGATAAAAAAATAACTATAATAATAGAAAAAGGTCGCCAAAATGCTGGTCGAACGACCTACAATATAATATAATAGTATACTTGAATAGAAATATTGATAAACCGGTTTTATAATATTTCGGCCATATACTAATCAGTTGGACCGCTTTCCTGTCGTGAAAACTTAACTCTCTTTCTCTCGTTATGACTGGCCCTCTAGTACTGTCTACACCAGCGACCGGACGCCCATTCACCGTGAAAAACCTCATTCAGGCGGTCCCTTTTTAAACAATAGTGGTCAAACGACAAACTATAAGAGTTTTTTTTGTTTTGTATGCTTGCGTAATGCATGCCATTGACTCGTTTTCTTATGGTTCTACATTACTAAATTTCAAATTGTCAAGTTTGTCGTACATGATAATTTAATCCTTAAGCAGGCGCATGACTTATGGTGTAATAAAGTGTATTACATTTCTTACCTGAATCACCGTGACTAAAGGCGCCTGCTTAGAGGTTAATATATATTTATAAGATTTTAATAAAAAAAAACATTAACTTAAATTATCAACCCTTATTGAAGATGTATCGATCCCCGTACCTTCAAAGAAGGTCGTTATCTCATGAAATGTGGATAAAAGTATTATTATATATATATATATATATATATATATATATATATATATATATATATATATATATATATATATATATATGCCAGCATATTGTTTATTCCCCTAAAGTACAGCGTTTCGGCGACCCTTCAGTTCACAGTTGTATATTATATTTTCACCGACTTGCCGTTTTTGCTCGCCCTTCGGGTATGTATACATATCATATACCTGCAGCTATATAGAATGCCCACTGCATTTTCTTTCCCCCTCCTTTTTCCACTTATCCTATGAAAGTACTTGGCCACCTTTTCTACCTAACCTATAACCTCTCGGCCCGGTAAAGGACACACTGCCACACAGTACCACGACATAATAATAAATAAATAGATATTATATTTGTTATAACTTATAACATAATTATATGTTTCAGACTTTCACAATGTCTACGCCCCTTCAGTCTTGCGTGCCCAAAGGTCGGGTTAAACTCACCGACGTCAATCCTCATCTAGTATGCGTCTTATGTCACGGATACTTTGTAGACGCTACTTCGATCGTCGAATGCCTTCATTCTTGTGAGTATATAATAATAATATATTGGTATAAATATTGAATATTTATACCATTAACTATTATTACCACTGAGTCAACCCTATACCGTGTCTCGACTGACGGCTGCTAATAATAATGTACCTCCTCCCCTCCGTAGGCTGTATCAACATGCTTATACACAGAGTTAAACAAAAATTGTATGTGTGCATACAGGGTTATCATAATTCCATGTTACACCTAATTTTTTTTGATTATATACTAAAATTTTAAAAAAATTTCCTATAATACTTTTGATTTTTATAATTGAAAGTTCTTTTGCAAGTTCTAGCGTGAATCGTTGGTTTGTCCGTTATTCTTAACAAATGAAACTTAGTCATTCCTTAATCATCATTATCATATAGCCCTTGACGTTTACCTATGTGTAACCACGTTAAATTACTGACTAATTGGTGACAACCAATAACGGAACAATAATGTGTAGCGCAAAATTATCATTCAGTAATTGCCACTAATTATATATATTATACTGCACTTTAATCTGCATACACTTTAAACGTACTACGTACATAGATGCCTCGTCACTTGAAATGTTATTATGAACTACAGCTGTTATATTGGCTATACACAAGACAATTTGCATATTGTAATACATAACATACTTTTTTATACACTTATTTTGCATTACACGAAACCAAGTATCATTAAAATAAACCTCATACCTGTAGGTATGCCAATTTAGTAAGAGCGGATTAAGAGGAAGCAAGTGCGTAGATCTTAAATAAAGTTTATTTTAATTTCAATTCTTATAAATAATAATGGATAAAATTGGGAAAATTATCATGTGGTTATAACTAATGTATGTGTATAGACGGATTAGTGTGGTCGACCTCACTTGTGTCAAGTCGAATAAGTGTCATATTTGTACATGACAGAGCAGGAATACTCCTTGTTTATTATTTTTTACCTAAAGGACTGTAAAACATAAATTTTACTAATAGGTCTTTACCGATAGCACCAGTAACTGTAAAAGTGAAAACAATTAGATATTAACTGTTAAATTAGAACCTACTAAACATCACATTTTCTATTTCACTCTATTAAACTTATCTAAACCTCTGCCCCTATTTGAAATGATTCCATTGTAAGTACTTTCAGGGGAAATGAGGAATGTTAACGCCCTACATTCTTTCTGTGCATATTATATTGTATAGTAGATACATTATTGTACACTATTAAAATGGTATTATAATCAATATTAAGTGAAAATCCCAATGTAAACGATTGCTCTTTGCGTAATAATAACTAATAAGTGATAACATACCTAGTAGAAGAAACTCGGTTCTTAACACGTCTTGATAATAGTACACCGATTTTACAGGAATTACATATCGCGTTCAAATCCATTATCGGTTGGTACACACATTAATATAAGACAATTATATTTGGTTTTAGTGTCTTTGTAACTTTGTAACGAGAATATTTGGTATGCTACATAGTTAATAACATTTTCAATGTTGCGATAATTATTGTACTTTCCCGCGCTTATTTTCCATTCGACAATCGACCGTTTAAATGGCGACTGCTTGATCAAGTGCGTGCGTGCATAGTACATAACATAGCGCATTTGTCGATTGTCAACGGGTTCGTTGGAGTACACCTACCTATGTGTGGCTGAGTCGTGCGGCATGTGAACAATAATAATTATATATTATGATGATTATGAATTCGTGTGGAGTATCGTTGTAGTATAAGGGAGTGGTCCGTTGTATTTATATAACACAAATGTGCTTGCTTAGGTATAATGATAATAATAATAATAATTTAAGCAACGTCGTATCGCAGTTGTCGGCCGGCGACGATCGTGCGGTATGTTTGATCGGGCGGGCGGTTCGTATTACCCGAGTGCTGGTGACGCCGCGCCGCCGATATGCGCGCGTGTGTGTGTGTGTTTGTCAGCATGACCGGTGGTGTGCGAACGTGCGACGTTGCCGTTGTGCCGGTGTGTTTTGATCGGCAAAACGACAACGATGCACCGAGGAAAACACAACAAACACCATCTGTGTGACGTTTCATCCGCGCGCCACGCCGTCGGGTTCTCTTTCCCCCACCACGATCTGTCCTCTGCTGGCGCGGCCGTACTAACCTACGGTTCGTAAATCCGGCACAAGGACCTACGCGGCGGCTTCCGTGCTATATATTGTATATATATATATAAATATTTATGACGTATATATAAATATAAATTCTGGCACGGACTCCGATACAATATACGAGTATTAAGCGCGTGGCTACGTGTCGAGCAATGTGGGGGCGTCCTCCGCCCCTGCCAAGTTGGGCGACGGGCAGGGGCTCTCTAATTGGACGGCGTCGGGGTGATGTTAAAAATATTTCACAGCGCGGCTCGTTACAGCGTGAACGCCACTCTTAACGCATCGGAGGGAGAGGAAAACCAATCCTCTTCGGGGTTGTCATGTCGTTTGCACAAAGTATTCGACGGGACGGGACTTTTTAGTTTTCCTTTTTGGTTTTTCCTCGTGTAGACGTTACACGTGTATTTATACCGGGAGGTAGAACATTGTCTACATTAACACTTACAATAAAAACCAGAGGCGGATGTAAAGATTTTCCTCAACGAGGCAAATGATATTTTATATTATATATTTAAGAAGGTATCTCCGAAAAATTAATTTTTATCATAAACCGACGATTTTCATATTTTTACATTGAAAAAAATGTGCCGTCAGCCATCTTCTTTAATGTTGTCGTATTAGGCAACTGTCAATGTGGCCTACCCAAAAATCTGTCGCCGATAAGAACATTATATTTTGACACTAATAAAATAAATAATGATCATCGATCTTATTATGTAGCCCATAAAGGATTTTGTGGCTAAGACTAAATAAAAAAATAATTGTAATACTGTAAACTACTGGTTAATATTTTAAACATTTGTTCAAAGTAAGATAAAGTTTAAATTTCCTTCTTCACATAAAGATGTAGACAGGATGGTGGTTAAAGACGGTAGTTGTAAACAGATTGTGGTACCGAAAGCTGTACTTTTAAACGATAGGTTGCTCTTAAAAATGTTATTAATGGAGGCTGGGGTAGTCTTTTAAAACATGAACTACCGATATAGAATCCTCATTGCTGTATACACTAAAGAAAAATACTTAAGGGATGTAAATATATGAATACTTTTATTAAGCCGGGTCACAAGTTCTCCGAAACAAAAAGTTCATTCCTTTGATCCGATTTGATAATCACTATCGCCAAAAGATTAATGTCTACCCTGTGATCTTGATGTAATATAGATGGGAGGAAGAAAGATTTGTGAATATACCTACAGAGTTCTAATTTAATTTAATTTTTTTTTTCTTAAATTATAATTTAAGTAAATTTAGTTCATTAAATATACCAAATAAATCGCTTTTGTTGGAATCTTATAATATTTTATTATTGGCATTATTCTATTATACTATGCCGCAGTTTGGATGTAAAATCGATTTCCTAGAATTATTTTACAATAATATCACACGGTTGTAAACAATATTACTATATATATGTATGTATGTATACAATGAAGTACAATAGTCAATTTTAGTAACTATTAATAGTCAATTTTAGTAACTATTAATACTACTGGCTAGAAAATTCTGTTTAGCCTATTCGGATTTCATAGTCGCTACGCTATTATTACTATTATTATTGTGTATTTTTAGCATACATTCTGCTTTAATCTCAATTGTATGAATACAATTGTTTAAAACAAGGCGACACAGTATCCGATGTTCACTTGTATATTCTATATTAATAAATATATGAACACGCAATGTAATTATGTTGCCCTTTGCTTTATTTACAAAATGCCTAGGTTTTGAATAAATTATTTTTGAACTTATGTGATGTATTTTATAGCGATTAGCGGTATATAATATTATGCAGTAATAACTGTAATGTAGATAACCAGTAACTTTGTCGTCCTACTATGAGCATGATATAACAGTTAGGGTCATACGAAATGGCTTTTAGACTCAATACTATAATATTATTTGTATAATATTATCGTCTATTTAATGTTTTACGATTTTTTTTACATACCTCCCACATATACTAAACAGTAAACTATAATAGAACAATAACTATTGTACTAATAAGTCTTTTTTGTGGGAAATTATTTTACGATTGGCCATCACTAAATTTGTAGTTTACAAAAATTCTATATACGTCCGTAACTCGTGTATTTAATGCATGAAACTTAAGTTGTAACGTTATATTCTTTTTCATGTATAGTGTATGCGATAGCTTTTTAGAAACGTTGTGTATATACATGTTTGACGGTCCAGGATAAGTGTCACGCGGTAAACGACCCGTGTATTATTTTATCTTTACACAAAGTATGATAGGTTTTACCACAGATAACAGGTAAGTGGTAACCCGATATATTATGTACGAATAATACCATTTGTTCAATACATGGTCCGACTTGTGCATAAGTTGTGCACAAAGTAATAATTAGTATAACATAGTTATATAATTTTGCCATTTGGCTCAAAACCACACAATATAATGCAATGGGAGGAGAGAGTTGTAAGAAGTCTTATGGGGTACTGTCGCAATGAAAAAATACAACTAATATCAATCTTCGTTTATAAAACTACACAAATGAGCTTCCTCGACATCGACGTACGCGGTACTTGGTATTCTTCTTAAAGTATTACCAAATATGTCTATAATTCAACAACACTAAAATCATAAGGATTAGCGCGTCAAATCATCTATGCTGTCGGTGACCTGAAACGAAGTATAATATATTATATATATATATATTACAATGCTTTAAATTATTAATAATAATAGTCATAACAATCGATATAAGTTTGATTGCCGACGGAGAAGAAATCCACCGGCAACCAAACGAGTGTTATACAACCACAGCACGTTGTTAGTTTCATGCAACAAAGCAATCTCTGTCGATCCGTTCCGCCAGCACAACTCCCCGTTACTACTATTATTATCTTATGTTAAAAAATGCACCGCGTTTTTCATCTGCGAGGGATAATATTAATATTTTTCGGTCCATTTACCGTTTAAGAATGTATGCTAAATTGCTAGTGCCGCGGCGTGATAGTAGTCGGTCGGGTTCGGTTGGTTCAGAACGACGATCAAGAACATAAATATTTATATTGAACACTTTTAATAATGTTCTTTTCCGTTTTGTTTTGTTACAGTTTGCCGTAGCTGCATCGTGTTACACTTGGACAAGAAGAGTTATTGTCCGATATGCCAGGAACAGATCCAAAACAGCAAAGCCCTCAAGTAAGCTTAGAATAATTGATTTCGCTTGTGACATTTTTTCTCCCCTGTACTTCCTTCCTGTGCATCGTCCGCGCCTCAACCCTTGTATTATTTTATCTCGCCACGCCGCCTCTCTTTTAGTGCCACAATAACACTTACTGATTATACTTCCGGTTAGACGACTGGTAACAACTGGTATACCTATTGAAAAACCCAATATGATAATAAGGTCAAAAGTCTAATTAAAACTTTTTAAAATAATATAATTTCTTACGTTAGAAGAATTGGTAAATTTTAACAAAATATTTAAACTAACATTTTAAGACTAAAGATAATGAATATGGTAGACTTTTTAAAATTTAACAGTGTTCGTTAAAAAAAAAATAAGTTTAAAGTATAAATATATCTCACAATAGACAAGAATATAATAAATTGTATTTAACCAACCAAGTACATAAAAAAAATGTATTAAATCATTATTTACTATATTCGCATACCGTTCAGTGTACGTGGGTTAATATAAAAAATAAGTAATAATAATATGCAGGGAACAAAATTATAGAAATTAACGGAATTATTGATGACTGATAGGGGATGATCATGATCGGTCAAAATGTATAAATGCTACAACTTCCGAGCCCTGATGATGATGCTATTTGCGTTTAGGTGAAGAATAATTGTACTAATTTTTGTAACATTTGTCGTAAGAAAGACACAGCGTGAAATAGTTAATTTGCAAAAAAAAGTTTTCTTTATCTTTTCCTATCGTAGCACCCCTCGGCGTCGTCGGATTTGACCGCAAAAAAAAAGTGTTCGACTAATGCATTTATACATATATATATATAATATATATATAAAGTCGGGCTTAAGTCAGGCAAAAGCGGAATAAGCGCAAAAAGTATAGGGTCGGTAGGGATAAAAATGCGAGAAGAGTTTTAATGGTCGAGGGGACCTTTTCGCCTTCGTGTACGACTGTCAGGCTTCATGGCCATGTGCTTTCAGTCACGGAAACTTCGAAAGTCCATTTAAAAAATACAGAAATGTATATGTGTGTGTGTTTTTTGTCAAACGCGTGCCGTACCTATGTTAATGCTTCTCGCGGTAACGAAATTTAACGGTGTTTTGTTTTCCCATTCTCTCTCACTCTCTCTCTAAAATAAAAATCTCGTTTGCCATAAGGTCAAAGAACTTTGTATGGCTAAAGTTCTTGGCGAGATAATTATACGAGATGCGCGTGTTGATTTGTTTGCTTTACTGTTCAAACCAGCTTGCACGTGCACCACACATTATACTAATTATTGGTTTATTACATATGTTTTATAATATTAAAAATAAAAAACATTTTTAGTATTATTGTCGAAACTAAAGACGGGAAAAAATGTTAAATCTTTTAATTTATTAAAACATCTAAAAAGGATAAAACATTATTTTCAATAATAATTTTCACGTGACACATTTTTTATTAATTAAAGTCATTTTAAAATAACTAATTTTTTTTTGCTAATTATACCTACTTAAGTTTTGCTGCTGAGAATATTGGTGTTCCGTTTAACTATAAATGTTCAGAAAATATCGGGTCTTATAAATTGTTATAATAGGTAGTGTAATACTATAAAATATATTAAGGAATTGGTTTAAAATGGGCTCATTATCGTTTTTAATTGTTTTCTACAATGATAAAATAGTAATTAGTTATATGTAGATTTAGTTTTTGTATTTACATTAGTGTTGTATAGCAAAATGTCACGCTTGATTTTTGATTCTATAAGTATGAAAAAAAAACCTTCGTGAATTAAAGTAAAATGGCCGGAGTATAACTAACGGGAGCAAGTATAAAAGTATAATATACCCTCGACGCTCTGCAAACTATATGATATTATTTACTGTTTCGGAAGGACTAAAAAAAAGACCCAAGAAACTGATTTCACGGTCGTGGTACCCTCGTGCGTCCCTTTACTTACTATGTTTTCTCGCGGGAAATGTGCTCGGGGTTACGTCGTCTGTGTGTGTGTGTGTGTGTGTGTGTGTATGATGTATAGCACTTGATGCATGGCCGCCGCCGCCGGCTCATTACACGAGCAAAAACTGCTAAGCCGAGTTTTCCCTGTACCACCGACGCAACGCTCATGTCAATGCCCTCCTCTCTCTCTTCTCTCTCTCTCTCTCTCCTTATTCACTGTCTCGTTGCCGAATACCGTCTGGTTATGATAATAAATATATATATATATATATATATATATATATATCTACGTGAGTTAATAATTTTGCCACACGAATTTTCTTATTTATAACGTGTACTAGGTTCATGTGTGTAGGAGCTAATGTAATAACAAATAAGTAATACCGTGTTGCGACCCCCCGAGTGTGTGAATAAACAAACGTTCCGGCTCTTGTCTCTGTCACTGTAGAGAAAGATGATGGCGGTGTCGTACGCGGGCAATCCGTCAATTTGCTGTTCAAAAATCGAAGATGACTTGTTTTTCTCCAAATTGAGGACGTTGTAGTATTGAAAACCAATAATAACTGTTAAGCGTATCGCAGCATAATATGCGCTATCATAAAATTGAAATGTTTCTGAAAACCCAGGGAACAGGACTCCTACACTAATCCAACCCGTTAAGTTTTTAATGTCCTCATCAGAAAGGCACCGACAATATTTTGAATTGTCAAGTTGTAGTTACGGTGTACGTGCCAAACTAACGTAAATGTAAAAGTATCCCTCATAAAAATGTGTGTTGTTAGGGCGCCATTCGTTTTTCATAAAACATACTTCATTAGTTAGAGGTAATTATTAATTATACATAATGTTTAACGATAAATGACAGTAAAGGTGTTACGTCCAAATAACGGACGAGAACTCAGACCACGTTTATTCAATAAGTAAACCGGCCCGTTTTGTCAGATTTAGTGTGGAGTGAGGATGCACCCTCTTTGAATACATGTCAAATTCAGACTCTAGTGATTGTATGGAAATCTTTCACGGGATAACCTATTGTCGCGAACGATTTTTTTTTTATAATCTAACAATTGTTTGCAAAAGTATAGATATTCAAAGACTTATTTAATAAATTATTGTGTAATCCTCCGCAAAGAGTTTCTATATGACATTTAATCAAGCGTTTTCAGTAATTACTTTTTAGTTCAGTAGTATTGCAATTGGATGTAAAAATGTAGAGAATCATTAGCTGGGTTAAGATTTAATTTCGTTCATATTTACGTTAAACTTAGATTATATGGATTGTTTTCGAAATTATTCAGGGCCTATCCGATAATAGACTTCTAGGTATCAAACAGGCATTCACTAAACGTGTTACCACCTAAGCTTAACCTACAGTAATAATGCTGAAATGATCCAATTTTCATGTTTTAGCGATCTAGGGCCTTGTAGTGTGTAGTAACGATTTTCGCGTTGTACTTGAAATTTTCGGTTACAGACAACGGCAATGGGGTGTAGACTCTAAACAGTAGTGTTAACATCTATGCTTGTGTGACCCTCGTTTTTGTGGTTTACTATGCGTGCGTGCGTGCGCGCGCGATATGTGTGTGTATGCTGTATACATATCCGCGTTGTTATATTGAATGGGAACCTCGCTTCTTCTTCCGTACCGAGACCCGTCATGCGAAAACGATCTGGGTCATTTTGTACAGTATAATATCATTTTTTATTATTGTGAGCTGAGAGAAATGAGGGCAAAGACACATATATATATCTATGTATTTTATTTGCGTTTAGGTTAAACGGCAAAATACGTTTTTTTTTTTTAAAAAAAAAACGGTATACACGGTATTTTTCTCTAATAGAAGTGCAGAGCGCCTCACGCTGTTTTTTTCGACAAAATATATCTATATAATTTGTATGTATAATGGTCACCACAACGTCAGACACCCTGTAAAATCTTAAAACTATATACACATTAGAAAAAAACATTCGGGACACGGTTATGTTTTTAAGCGTACATTAAATATACTGATACTAAATACGGGATCAAATTAACATAACACATTGGCGTCCGTGCCGTTTTCATAAAACAAAATTATCCAGCCACATAAATACTATAATTAAATGGTTATTTGTTTTTCAGGCCCGACAAAGCCCTGCAGGACATCGTGTACAAACTGGTACCCGGGTTGTTCCATTCAGAAATGAAACGCAGACAGGAATTCTACCAAAAACATCCGCATAGGGGTAAGTGATAATCGCGCGTTAAGTCTGCACTGCCTGCAATATTCGTATTTTATCGCCGTTATTAATTCTTTGGTCCCGGGTAGAAAGGGCTTAAGTCAATTTTGCCAATTGAACCAAAACAATTAGCAAATATCAAGCTTTAAATCTACGGGAAAAAAAAGTTTGTGAAAAATTGACTTAGGCCCTTTCTACCTGGGACCAAGGAATTATTGTTACAAATAGATCCAACGATTGCAATATTGTTAGCCTTCGTTATTAACCTAATATTTTTATCATCTTTGACGGTACTTAACATACAGGTTAAACATATACTTTATTGTTCTCTTTAGATATGCACCTACACCCGGAATATCGGGGCGTGACCGTCGACCGGATCGTGTACACAGCCGATGAGACAATCAGTTTATCGCTGGAATACTACGACAAGTGAGTACCTATATAGTGTATCAGTATTATATCTTCGCAACAAGTATAATGAACAGTAACTGGGACAGGTTAACGATTGACGTGGTTAAGAAAGGAATCGTCGTCGAGGAAAATATGAACGACCGTCGTTTTACAGTGCAAAAATCAAATCATTTTTGTATAAATCTGTGCTGTGGACTGCGATCCTTGTTAACATAAATTTCTACCCTTTGCGAACTTTTGAGGAGATTAAACTCTGATAATGTATATTCATACCTAGTTGGGCGTTTTTCTTTTCATGCAGACCTTTGAGATTTCTTCATAACAAAATATATAACAACTACAAGAAGCGGTTTCTATTGAAATGATCGCAGCCGGTGCTTACGTTGGGACGTTAACATTTTCCGTCTCCCCCTCGCCGCATTTACCATCCGTGGTGCGGAAGCTACAGGTTTCCTACGCCGTCTGCACCATCGTTGTTGTATACTTGGGACTCCCAAATGCACTCGGCTTGCCGCATTCGCATGGGGTTCTATACATATCGATCAGGGGAAAAAGAGACCCTGCGGCGCGGCGGCGGCAATCCAGTCACCTTGGTAACCGCGCGGCCCGGAAAACGGTACAGAGTAGTATTTCGGATCTATAACGCGTCCAGAGATCGACCCCAGAGTATACAGAGTTGTACCTACTTGTCACTAATCGCCAAAACATCTGTACCTAATGATATAAGCTGAACGGGCTTTTTATACCGATTGTCAACCACAGATGAACACATCATGCGAACACGGACTAAGCAGCGGTGATTGCTGTTATCATCTGGATTAAACATGTACCTCGGTGGCTATAAAGACGCATTTTAAACGGATTTCTCCCTTTTTAAATTTCTCCGATTATCGTCATTTATTTAACCCTTTATTACTTTTGAGTTATTATTCTGGAGAAATGTATTGTATTGCTAGTTGGTCGAGTCATGTTTATAGCAAAACGCTAAAATACACAAATCATGAGAATTTACCAAAATTAACAAAACAGCTAATCTACACTTGATTAGGGATTTTTGTTTTTTGTTTCGGAGGGGTTGTTGGTTCTATAGATATATCGATTAGTATATTTGGTCAAACTACTATTAGTAGACAGAATATTATATATTAATTGTATTGAGAAATATTGGAGGGCATATAATTCCCCCCTCTCTACTCTTGCAAATAACGGAATCTTCGAAAATAGTTACTGCGAGGAGAAAGGGCAGTTTAACTGGATGTACTTACTGCTTCAGCGTCAAATGTTTTTAGGCCCTATTTTGTACAATTATTATGCTACACTATCAGACGCATACAGTATGCAATGCCACGGAAGCCGAGTATGTGTTTAATAAGCGCCGCGGTCGTGTTAAGTAGGACGCCGTCATGCGAACAAATTTGAAAGTAATCGAACGAGAGATTTCACTTTACACGCGCACAACGTTATAATATTACTATTACTGTCTCCCTTGCCCTCTAATAATGGCGCTCTCGACGGGAAACGTCTTATGATTGACGGCCGGCGGCTAAACGCACCTTTTTCCACCCTTTTTTTTTACCCAGCTCTTGTGCTACGTTCCACGATTAAATGCTGTACAATTCATACACATTATATTATATTATCGTATACAACCCTTATCCCGCGATGCACATTCGCTCGACATTTTCCGCCTTTATATTATGATTATGCATTGCGTACATACTTTACATACAGTTGGGTGCTGTTCGAACCCCTTCGTAGATAATATAATATAATCTATACGGTGAATACAACATATAATTAGAGATATCGACGGCGCGCAGTAGTACAAAACATGTTTTTTGACGTATGGAATTTCATAACTCGATTGTCGTTCGAGCCACTTGAGTTTTTCAAACCTCCCGCTACAATCGAATATATACCTAGATCATAAGCCTCGTGCGTTAGGCGCATGCTAATAAATATCACACATGTGTATATGCTGCTACTTCTCTTCTTTATAATATATTATAATATTGTATTAAGTCAGTCTGTCTCCTCTGCTCTTTTGTAGTAGCACGCGATACACATGCACACATGCACTGAGGTAATATAGTCGTGTGCAGCAGCTGTTGCTTACCACCATTGCTAACGCTACCACATCCACCCTAAATTTAAAAAAAATATAACTTAAATATATGTTACACGCCTTTTTTTCTTTTATATGAATAACGGTATTGTAAAAAAAAAAAACTTGAGATTAAAATGTAACGAAGAAGTATAGATAGGTGATTTTTTTTTAGAATTATTTTTATTATTGTTATAAATTGCATGTATATGAGAGTATGAGAATATGCAATTAAAATACAAATAATTGTGTAAATAACACTGCTTAGAATATTGTCATTTCATATTAGAATAGCTGTTTATTGCTCCCTTTAATCAATCCTGAACGCGTGTACATGTACGCACGGTTGTTAAATATCTTGTTTGAAATCAAAAAATTTTGGAATTTTTACCTATTGGCTATTACTAACCATAATTAATTTTTTGTTACAGAGAATGCGAACAAGAAATGTGGAAAAACGTTACGGACGACAAGGGTTTCCAATATATGGTGAGGGTAAGTTAACGTGAAATTAACTATTAGATATTAACTACTATATTATATTTATATAATACTGATATACCTAGTCATTCGATGAAATTTAAATATAATTTGCTTATTGGGCGGATTTTAGTAAAAACTAAAACCATTCAAGTATGTGCTATTATTTTATATAGTTCATCATAACGTATAGAACCGCTTATTAAATAATTGACATATTGACTTAATTATTGACGTAATCGACTATACCCTTCTGTCCCGTGTTATTATACATTTATGCTCTTTATGTAAATGTAGTTTTCATGTGGTAAAACTTGTATTTTTGCAGACCGAAAAACAACAAAGGTGTGTGGTCAGAAAACGGTATTTGAGGTGTCCCGCGGCCGTCAGGATGTCGCATTTGAAAAAGTTCATCCGAATGAAATACAACCTAAAACCTTCGGACTTGGTAAGTGTTTTTGTATGTATTTAAAACTTAATTGGCAAATCCTGTGTGTGGAGTACCACGGCTTCAAATGGTTTTAATCTATATTAGTCCTATGGGTGGCTTCACATATCTCTATTATGTATGGTTTGACCTCATTTTTTGTCGGGAAGTATTCTTTTGGACACACGATTAACCATTTAGGTTAATCTATTGTTTATTACGGTATAAACATAGTCAATTTCAAAAATCCGCAGATTGTAATATTGTTCTTGTTAGATAAATATTAAAAATGATAAATAAAAAGGGTAAAAAACGTGACCTCCCTTCCTCCATCCGCTTGTATTATTATCTTGCACGACGACCTTACGGTGTACATGGATTTTTTTTTTACACAATCGCCGGAAGTTAATTTACCTCGACATAACAACGCGTCGCCCGGCTCTCTCACCGCATTACGGCAAATGACTTCGACGATAGAAACGCCTGACAAATAATATCTACAATAAATGCGTTAGAAGGGAAAATTATTCTTATACATGGCTTAGCGAAACAAATTTCTCGGATACCAATTACTATCACTGCAGTTCAAAGTACTTTTTGGACTATAGGTAATAATCGTGTTCGTATTTAAATTTATTCAATAGCTCATCAGTATTCAGAACCTTACCAAGCGGTACAGAGGCCAGTGTTTATCGTTTATATTGTATGTGTAATTTTTGTGTTATATTTGTATCCCGTTTAATAGTATAGCTACAGCCCCTAATTTATTAATTGTTATAATCTTTCTTTTTAAAAATAGTCTTAACACGGGTTCCAGTTTGCGCAGACAATTAAGAATAACGATTTATCTAGGTTCCGTTAGACGAGGTTGTTAATGACTGAGCATTATTGTGGACGATAGCTAAGGAAATTAGATCTTAAATCTATGGTTGCAATCTCATTCCATAAAAATGTGTCAAAGACATTACGTTAAAATGAACTGTCGCTACACCGAGAATAGCTTTTAAACAACACTTTTTTCATACACTATAATAATATAGCCGGCCCACGGTGTTTCGTTCTTTCGGTCTGGTTAAAGCGTTTATTGCCGTTCGATTTCGGGGCTAACGATGAGTAAATAAAATTCCTCGCCGCTTTGTGTGTTACATAAATTATGTTGACCACTACGATGGACAGGTCTTACGTGGTAGCGTTTAAGTGTCGATACATGTGATCAATGTGTGATTTTTGTATGTTTCAGGTGGAACTGCTGTATAGGCGGGAGAGTCTTCCCGAAGAGTATTCGCTGATGGACATAGCGTACATTTACACGTGGAACCGTAACGAGCCCATGCGGTTCTTTTACAAGATCAACGCTCAGATGACGGTGCCGGTGTTTCCGGTGGCCAACAAGGAACGGACGACGACGGAAGTGATCGCACGCGAGTCTGCCGCGCCATCGGAGACGACCGTCACCATTGCCGACAACGCTTCAGCGGCCATGGCCAAAGCCCAGCCGTTATCACTCAAGGTGGCCACGACGGTCGAGTCAAAAGACGGCGATGACGACAAAAACAAAAAGTCTGTGCCGAGTCTGCTCGAGTTACCGTTAGCCGGCAACGAGACCGAGGCCAAAGGCTTACCGCCATTGCCCCCTGTGGTACCGCTCGGCTCGCCGATATCGCCCGAGGGCACGTCCAGGAAGGAGAACGTGTCGGATAACGTGCGCAATAGCTGCGCCAACGAAGTCAAACAGTGTGCTTTTCCCGTCGTCCAAGCGGCCAACGGGACCGTGGTCGCGGAAAAGGACGAAAAGAAGCCGGCTGACCCGTCGGACGTACCTATGAAAAAACTGGAAAAATTAGTCGACCAACAACAGCAGCAGCAGCACCATCAGACCGCTATTCCCGTGCCCGTGGTCCCTCTAGCGGCCACTCCAAAGCGAACGACCGGTGGCGAATCCAAGCTCAACCTGTCCATATCCAAGTTGATCATGAAAAATCGGAACGCCGCCGGTGCGACGAACAACGCGACCGTACCAAAATTCGTGCCGACCCCTCAGCAGATGCAGCAAATCGGCATGCACACGTCCATACCGAACATCCAACATCCGTCGACTCAGCCTCCGTCGTCTCAACCCAACGCTTACGTCCGCCCCGGATTCCCGGGCATGCACGCGTTTAAGAGATCCGCGGCCGACACTCCTCCGGCTCCGGTCCGCAGTCAAGCGCCTTCCAACCGGCCACCGTTCATTCCGGTGCGTAAGTCGTACGAATGGAATAAGGCGAGAAACACCGTGAAACTCGGATCGCACGTCGACAAAGACATCCACGGTGGTAGGCAATCCGAAAAACTTTTGGCTCCGAAAAAGTCACCTCTACCCGTGGTCGTGGAGAAGCCGGCCGCTAAAAACTCTACGGAAGAACTGAACGCCGCTCAGAGTTTGCTCAGAGTCGGCCAGGACATCAGGTTGCAACCTTCGCCCAAATCGTCCCCCGCGATGGACAGCATTCACGACCGGTTTAACTGCGAGTCGTCACTGCAAATCACCAAAGTCAGCGATCCCGGCGAAACTACCCATCAACCGTGTGCGGCGGCAGATTCGGGCGCCGAAAAACCGACCGGTCCTCCTAGCCTGCAGATCATGAGAGTGCCGCAACAGACGGCCGTAGACAACAAAGCCTGTCCGCCAAAACTGCCAGAGTCCACCGTTAATGGCACTCCTCAGACAGCTGCCCCCAGCAAGCCGGCCAATAAGAAACCGGTACCGAGTTTATACAGCATGCAGACGGCTAAGCGCAAAGACGACGTCGGCTTGAATATGACGCCGCCGGAAAACGGTAAGCGGATGGAAAGGCGAGTGGATACCGAAAACGGCGTGCTTAGCGTTTCGCTGTTGACCGAGACGACCAAGCAAGACATGGACGCTAAACGGCGCGAAGTCGTCCAACCGGACGTGTCCATCAAGCTGATGACGTTCCCGACGACGGAATCTTCGAATGCTGTTAAGAAGACGCCGGAAATCGTCAAAAAGGCACCGGAACTGAACCCGATCAAGAGAAAGCACCCGGCGACGACGGGCGACTGCGCGCCGGAACGAGGCGTCCGCAAAGCCACGCCGCCGTCCCGACCCAAAGACGACGTGCCTCAACTGATCGAGATCAACTCCTCGCCGTACGCCAAACTGTTGCCGGCGGTCAAAAAACCGGCGACTGGCATTAAAGTGTTGGACCTGTCTAAATCGCCGCCTAACGGTCTCGTCAAACGCGTCAGTCCCCCAAAGGCCGCGCCCGTTAAACGTCTCAGCCCCGAGAACGGTCTAAAAAGGCTCAGTCCCGAGGCCGGTGGCGGTTCGCCCGGGAAAAAGAAGAATGTCGGCGCCGTCTTGCCTGCGCCGCCGCCTCCGGTGTCCATAACGCCTAGCACCGCGGCAGCCATCAACTCCAACTTGCTGTTTGCGGCTCAAAGACAAGCAGCTGCGTTCCTATTGAAACAACATTTCGACTCGCTCAACAACGGTTTGTTGAACAGAGGTAAGAACGGAACGGCTGCGGCCGCCCCCGTCGAGTGGCCACGGGCCATGTTCAATCCAGCGCTGTTCGCCCGGCCGCCCCCTACCAACCTCAACAACTGAGAAACAAACCTCGTCTTAAGTTATTATTATATATTACCTTTTCTTGTATGAAAAACGATAATTCGGTTGACTAATTTTTGGTTTTTATTTGTTATATATCGGTTTTATTATTATTTTGTTAACGAGAACTCGAAACTCACTTTTGTATAAAAAAAGACAATTTGGCTGTAGTTATCAATCACCACGAATTGAATCTAGTATGTAAATTACTGACTTATTAACGCATTATAAATAGTAAATATAATTACAGGAAAATATACGTATATATAATATATATTTATTTACATATTGTAATATAAATAAGCTCACCGTTGTAAAATAAAAGCATACAAAATATTGATTCTTTTTGTAATCGAAACAATTGATAGAATTTAATTAGAATAAAAAACGTATTTTAATATAACAATATGTTAGTTGTTTTTTTTTTTTAATAGTTGCTGCGAGCCGGCTAATGGATTTATTACGTTTCTCCAACGCTTTTCCGTCTTCCGATTACGCGTATTTTGACCTCGTCGTGGGTTATCACAAAATAGTACTAAAATGTACTTTTCCTCTTTGTAGGTATACAATAATATATAAACTTGTGTAAAAGTACACATGTTTGCGCGTGCATCATGCGAGTCGCCGAAATCATCTCGCTCGCCCGACCTTGCATTTGGCGCAGTTTATCATAATTATCTACTATACAGACTAGCTAAATGCATCGACTAGCGGTTCATATGGTTTTTTTTGTGATAAACGTTTTATATGATGTAGTATGTAACACATGCCAGCTGTCAATCGCTGACATATGCGTCCCTTTTCATCTAACCCCGTACACGGTATGTATATTTGGTTTTTTGTGGAAATATATATTATAAGAAAAAGGATACATACCTACATCGCAACACGTCGTGGGCGTGTTTGCCTCGTCCGAACGGTTTCATATGCTGCCGCCGCCGACTCGCAGGTGTGTGCCCGTCCTTTTAGGTAAGATAACACCCGACCCGTCGAAGAGGCTATTGGCGTTTTCGGACGAGGTCGTATGTAGGTATTATAGTTTTCCTATAACACTGAACCGTTTTCTCGATTCGAAAAATGCAATATAATATATCTACCTACTTTACTCTAACACCAACGGTATATACCAACAATTATCAAGTGTAAGTATAATAATGATGTTATTATACAAAGAAAAATAAATTATTTCTATAACGATTAAGGGTAGGTGTTTTACGATGGGCGGATCTTGACAAGGTTTTTATTTTAATTGTATACTCCGGCCTTGCTTCGGGCTCGTTATAAACTACTTTAACGATCGACGGTCGGTGTTCGATTACACGCAGTAAACACATATAATGCATTATATATTACTGATATAATAACATGTGTATAATAAATATACATTTGCTGGGAGGTCGCAATACAGGTCTTGTGTACAGATCACGATTTGGTTTTTCGGTCTTTTAGAAAGTACCATTTCGGTGGATATGTGTGTTATGCGAATTATAATAAAATAATATACCTTACGCTTGTTCCTATTTGCATGGAAAGCGGTATACTTAAAAACGGTTCATCCGTACTCATTTATAGTACTAATTAAACGTTCGATGTCAACCTAACCACCGTCGATTAAGTACAAATTATCTATGTTATTCTTTTCAATTGTAACTACATAATATTGAGCTGTTCTAATAAATACCCGGTGTTATTGCCGTGCCGTTTACACGGCGGCACTCGTTTTCCTTGGCGAGGGATGAGGTCACTAATAGTATATTACCTGTCCAGCTCGGTACATGTTTACTATGCTATTAGGTAAGTACATATATATAGATACACAAATACGGTTAGGTCATCCAGACACGGTTATCCAGACAAAATAACATTACAGATACATAGCATTGCTAACCGATAAACGGATCACTCACGTCTCACGATCTATTCAACGAAAAATGGCTACCCTTAACAAAGGTACCCTGCCCGCATTACCTACTCGAATCCTGTTAACCAGCAACGTTGTAAGAAGGGTTCATAAATCGTAGGGTAAATAGGAGTCTCCCTTGTTCTTCGCACACCTTGCACACATATAGTTAGAGCAGCTTGTAAGCAAAATAGAAAGAAATAAAAACAACACCGAACAGTGACGTACCTATACTTAAAAAGAAACAAGAATGGCAGTCTACATTTTAATTTTTAACCATTGGCCACCGACCAATTTTGATATCCACAAATTTGCAATGTTAGCAGCTGCTGCTACTCGTGGCGTGCGCCATTGCCTTGTGGTGCATGCAATAAATGTTGGTAATAACTAATACTAACTTAATTTACTTAAAGTATACAAAACCTAATAGATCAGTTCAAATTGATTCACGTAAGCCTACTACACATTTACAATAGACGATTTGTCTCACGCGTGAAATTAAATAGAAATCCAAGAATTGTATTCATTACAACGCGTTTTTTTTTATATTTATCTAAATCAGTGGCGAATAGGGTAAATTTTTGTTACCGGGAAAAACAATATGAAAAGGATTCAAAGCTACATAGACTGCACACATAGGAGACTTCATACTGCACACTCTCTTTTAAACCTTACACAAAATGTATTCTTTTTAATAATTTTTGTCATGTACATTCAATAAATGTTGTGTAAATTTAAATCATAAAATTGATTATTTTTGTTGAATCGTAGAAAAAGTAATTCATGTTATAATAAATATGAAAACTGTAAATCTGGTGTTTACCAAATGTTAAATATAAATATGCATTTTTATGAACAATATATTAAAAGTAAAAATTAATAGTAATTCATAGATAACTGATAACTGTAGCTACTTATTGTTATTTTTTGTTTATCCTACAATTTTTTTCATTCGGAAAATATTAAAAACTATTATTTTGTAATTGGCAGTGATCGAGTTGGAAAAAAAAAAAGTATGGGGACGTTTTTACTTAAAAAAAAGAGCGAGCCCAGAGTAAATCCCTCCTTTTAAACTGGATTCAACTGAATTATTAAAGCTGAAATTTTCTCGGGTGGAAAAATACCATTTACGAAGGACTGGAAGAAATTGTTATCCTTATATTACCTTTAACATACCTACGTAACGGTAAATAGGAAATCATAACATAAAATTGCTTTTAATAAACGTTTTTTGACAAAATAATTTTTAAAAACTTCCACTACTATGGAGTATTAAGTATATTATTAGTACAATTTAAAAAATGAATAACGTTGAATATCTAACCAATGTAATTCTGATTAACGATCAGTTTGAAATCGGTTATGCAAAATAATTGACAAATTATAGACAAGTTAAAAAGTAAAATAGAGTTAAAAGTCGGATGAGGTGAGTAAGGCGGAATTTTAAATGAGACAACAGGACACTGGGCGTATCGTGGGATAAAACGGTGGCCAAAACCGTTAGAATGACAAATTAGAAGTGCAAAATAATTGTAGTTGTTGGGGTAGCATAATAAACTCATATCAAACCAATAGCTAGGCATCACTGTGTTGTGTTTATCACACTCACAGTTTTATGTTGCAATACTTATAAAAAAAAACCATATTCTGTGTAGTGACTTCTGGCTAAGAAAATAAAAGCCTATCAATAGTATAAAGTTAGTGAAATGCTGAACAAAAAGGGAGAACACATTAAACTTGAACGATCATAAATTTAGCTACAAAAAATAAATAACTTACAATGCAGTGTTTAGGAACCTCTAATTATATAGGGACTCAACTCGTATAGTATAATATTTATTTATTATTCGGACCCAATTCGTAATTTGTACCTACCTGATAGTAATGGGAATTATTCCGAATAATAAACCCTAAAATTTGAGATCCGAATTTATATCACAACTTCAGTTACGAAAATAATCAGACGAAACGCATAAATGTATAGCGCAACTAGGTATATGACTGTATGCATCCAAATCAACCAGCATTCTCGCGGGCCTTGTCGCTATTCCATTCATTTGTACTCTATGGCATGATTATTTTATAATTTTTAATAAAAAAAACTATATTGTACAATTGTTTTTTTAAAACTACCGAATTTGTAATTTTAAAAGCTAGGCACTACTATATTATGATGAGTTTGGGCCAAACTGTTTATCGTTAGGTTCTATAAACCTAGATTAAACGTGATACACGTTACACATAGTCAATAATAGTACAATAATAATTATAGTGTTATATTTTTATTTATCTCATTGATTTTTTTTTCCAACGTGTGTTGATCGAATAACAATTTATTATTTATGTACTTTTACACATTGGTATCATTTGGCGTGACAGGCGGCTTAACGCGATTACGTGGTTTTCTTGTTTGTTTGTGTAAGAAGGAGATGTGTTATTTATCGCCACAATGAGCGCCGCAACACGTCAGGCCAGTACGTATAATAATAATATAATGTATTTAGTTAGTTTGTTACCAACTACTGGCGCGGTGCTATTTATACAATATAACAATATATTATTTCTATACGTGTACGAGTATACTAATATAAGAAACCGTTCCCCTTGTGCAGTTGTAACCAACACTACAACGGTACTGCATAAAATTAACTACACGGAAAAAAATAATACAGTTAATAATACAAGGTGATCATCTTATCGTGAACCACTCAATATCTCACTGGATTTAGTTAATAATTTAATTTTTTTCCATAATGTTTGTATACAATGTGATATCAATTTTTCACCATTTTTTTTTGTTTTTACCCCCCTCCAAACTTAGTTTTTTTGATAACAACTTTTGAAACTTAAATGGTAACGCATACATTTCATTACATTTTTAATGTAGAATAATTTACTAAAAATGTTGACTGGTCGATAACCAGTTTTGGATAATTATTTTTAAAGTTATAAGAGTTTGTAAGTTAGGACAGGAGAGGATAGGAAAGGATGGTAGGGGAAGTGCGGTTGGGCAATGCGCGCAGATAAAACTTCAATAACTTTATAAATAGTTACGCAAAACTGGTTATCGACCAGTTAAAATTGTTTGTAAATTATTTTCAATTTAAAAAGTTAATAACATGTATGCATGATCATTTAAGTTTCAAAAGTTGCTATCAAAAGATTGTGAAAAATTGAGATCACATTGCATAAAAACACTATGTAAAGAAAAAAATGTAATTTCTTATTAAATCCAGTGAGATATTGGTGGTTCACGATAAGTTGATCACCTTGTATAGGGCACAATACATATTTTATAGTTTGAATAACTAAATACATAGTGGCGTTAGCCTATTAAATGTACGTGTTACTTTAATCAAAGCAACTAATAACAGTACATTTAGTTGGTATAACTATTTACAAATTTTATTAACCACAATTAGGTACAGTTGATC